TGGGTCTACTGATATTAAAATTAAAAAGTTGTTAGCGCAGTCCCTTTGGTATTAAGAGTGTGAAACACGATGAAACTTCTTTTCTGGAATTCGTCTATTACTGTCACTGGTGGTCTGTGGAGCTTCTCTATTGCGGTCTGTATTATGATGTATGGAGTTTCTAGAAACCACCACAGACCGTTACAGAGAATTCAGAAACCACTACAGACCGTTACAGAGAAGTTAATAAATAATTAATTAATTAACCAATTAACTGATTAATTAATTTCTCTGTAACGGTCTGTGGGGGGGGGGGGGGGCCACATTTAAAGTATATAAAATTCAACACTCCTTTCAGATCGCGTTTCACGCAAACAATGCTATGACGACAACAGTTTTCCAACTACACATTTTATAATTTCACAATTTGAAGTATGTGAGAATCTAATTATGAGAACGTCACATGCTACTACAGTGAAACCTCTCTAAGATGAACACTAACGGGACTGTTCAAAACGTGTTCATTAAAGGAGGTGTTCATCTTACGAGGGAAGACCACCAAGTGTTCAATGGCTTTTTCGTTGAAACTACATGTTTTATGTAGCTCCCCAGGAGTTATGAATGCGCTGAAAATATTTTGGCGGATAGCTTATTGTTACGAACATAGACCATTTTTATGGCATTGTTTTATGATGGCCGTACTCCCCCTCAGGAAAATTAGAAAAAATTGATTTTCGAATTTTGATTTGAAATTTTATATAACAATAGAGCTCAACGAGAATAGCGTTTTATGAATGTTTTTGGACATTGAATTTGTTTTTTTCATAAAATCTGCCACTTTATTTGAAAGATGTAAAATAAAAATTTCACAATAACTGTGTCTAGTGATAGGAAACATAGAAAGGCCTGAAATGTTCACAAAAAGTTGTTCTCCTTAGGGCGTCTTTCTATGTAAAGTTTCAAGTTGAAATTCGTAAATCAATTTTTTTAATGTTTCTGAGGGGGACCCCAGGCTCTCACTAAAACCCATACCTTAGAAATAGTCTATTTTCATAACAATAAACTATCCGCCCAAAATATTTTCAGCGTATTCATAACTCCTTGGGAGCTACATAATGTAAGCAGTTTCAACGCAAAAGCGATTGAACACTTTGTGGCCTTCCCTCGTTAGAGAGGTATCACGTTGAATGAGAAACCATTCGTAAACTTGTTGATCGAGTTGTTGTTTGAATTCATCTCGAAAGTTGCGTTTCTTTGTTGAGTTTTCATTTTGTTCGCAACTTTCAATGTACTCTGCTTTGCATTTAATAATACTTGACACACTGCCGATCGAGATCTTGTAATTCTCAGCAAGTGTGCGATAAGAAGTGTTATTTTCATTTTCATAAATTAATTGCACTTTTTCAGATAAGGTTAGTATGTGTTTTGTCGCCATTTTACAATTGAAAAAGCAATGTGCGTTATTATCTCATACAGAATCGATTAACTAATCGCGGACTATTCATTTTCATTGTTCTATTTGTGTCATACATGCGACAAAGCTTGCTATGACGAATTGACCGTTCAAATTTGATTTATCACTCATGTATTATGTGCAATCGATTTTTTCCTCCACTTATTTCATACACGAAAGCGTAATTGCTCAATGTATGTTCACTATAGAGAGGTATTTTCCTACAGAAATGACTGAAAAAAAGTGCTCGATGTTCATCTTGCGGAGGTTTACTTACAGCAAAAATCGATCGGGGGTTCTTAAAAACATCTGTTCAAATGGGAGGTGTTCATTCATAGAGTTTTCACTGCATATATATAATTATTTTTAAACTAATTACAATATGCACTATATATGAGTGAATTGGACCTTTTCCTTGTCACCATTGAGATTGTGACTAACAGGATGTGTTTCTATTAATCGACATTGGCAGGGTTTTGTGTTACCAGGCGCTGAATATCTCACTACTGTATATAATTTTAGTGAAAAAAATTATAAATCGTTCATATTGTAGAGCGTAAAATTTTCCGTCGATGTGTATTTTCTTCGCTTATATTCTTTTCTTTCTATGTTCTTTCACATGGGACACTATACGACAAACACTGCTGTCATTTCCGTGTAGAAAGACACTGGCTGATTTTTCTTCTAAGAAAATCAGCTGAGTAAAACGATTCAAGTCAAAATCATTCACTTGGAAGAAGGATATTGTGAAATCATCATCTATTTTGATTACAAGCAAGAATTGAAGATTACAAATACACAAAGTACTCTTACTGCAGAAGAATATTGAATGTATCATGAAAATTCAAAAGTTCGTGTTGATTTTGATTTTGATACCAACGAATTAAATCACTACTGATTATCTAGAGGGCATTCATTTGAGGGTAACACCGCCACCGATAAATTGATATGACGTCTCTATTAGCAGCAAATAAACATGAATGAGAAAAATGAGACATTCCTACACAGTATATCCAATACGGGATAAAATATTGAGAAATTTGTTAGCAGCTATGCCAAAACGTCTCCATCTACTCACATACAAACATATCAATCCTTTAATGCTTTTTTTTATCCTGCTTCAAACAATATATTCTTCTGAATATATCTTCATGCATGATGGCAGCAAGGTCGCGAAATTCAATGGAGTTGCTTTTTCTTTCTTTTTCATGCCGATGGTTTGTACTTTTTTTCGATTCAGCACGACTTATTTATTCTTCGTTTTGCAGAAAAGAAAAAGAAAAAGAAAGAAACATAAAATACCCATCCAACCTTTGCATGTGAGTAATCAAAAAAGTGTACATTCGATGTAAGTTTCATTTTATTCAATACTAAAACGATGGCTACTGCTACCGACAGTTCTTCAACGGAAATTAATGTAGTGATTATCGGAGAAACAGGCACTGGTAATTTCTTAAAAAGCGTTTTGAGTAAAAAAAAAGAAAACAACTTATTTCATTATTCTTAGGCAAATCAACTTTAATTAATTATCTAACAAATCTATTCCACGATGGTTCATTATCAAATCTTAAAATAGCTATACCAACACGTTATTTGAAATCTACTATGTCTTCAATCATGCCTAAACATCATGAAACGTTTCTAGATGATATCACACGTTGCAAAACAAGCCAATGTACAAAATACCAATTTCAAGTCGAACAAGTCTACTTCAACTTCTTCGATACACCTGGTATCAATGATACAGGCGGTTATTTAGCCGATAATGAAAATCTTAATAAAATCTTTGAATGCATTCAATCATTTGAATATCTCACAGCATTAGTACTTGTTCTAAACGGTACACAGGCACGTTTGACAGTAAATATAAAAAATGTTCTAGAACGTTTTCATGATCGTATACCTGATGGATTTTATTCAAATATGATCCTTATTTTAACCAATTGTAGTTCGCATACAGTTAATTTCGAATCAATTAACTTTCTTAATCATACGGCAATTTTTTATATGCAAAATTCAGCATTTTCGTCCGATCCTCAAACATGGTCAGAACAAACACGTGAAATTTTACAACGAGATTGGAATATTTCGATACAAACAATGAATGATTTCATAAAAACTTTAGTTTTATTAGCACCTGTTTCAACAAAATCTTTATTAGATTTAAATAATGATCGAAACATTATTCGAAGTGTTTTACATGAAAGTCGTCTTATGATTATGGAATTGCAACAGATTGAAGACGAATTAATTGCACTTGAACAAGCAGCATTTATTTATTCAGAAAATGCTGAAAAATATACAACAGAAAATGGCGCACAAACAAAAAATATTCTGGTTAATATTCTGAATGAATTTATTCTAGATGGAAATAGTTAAGATCGTTGTGTGCAGATTTGAACTTCAGTAATAGGATATCCTCTAAATAGGTTAAAATATTTCGAAAATTGTTTATTAGAAGAATTTCCGTGATTGTACAAAGTCGATAGCATATCACCTATTTCATGTGTGTGTACTATTTTGTTTTCAGAGAAGTCAATCACTGGAGAAAACACTGCCTGGTAATAGATATGATTCTTTCATGAGAAAATAATCGATGAATGGAATTCACCAGCTTCTATAACGTTTTATGAAAGGTTAATTCATTTCCAGAAATTTCCATCTACGATCCGTTTCTCAAATCCATAAATAGATTAAACATCTGAAATCTCGAAAGTCCTTGATGAAATTGCATGGGAAAACACCGTATCTACTTATAATAGTGATTCTCCGACGATCCAATAAAATTCAAGAGTTTTTCATTACTCTATTAGCAGCTTACTATTGAAATCATATTTCAAAACACGACAAAAATGTTTCTATTCTACAGATAAATCTGATGGAAAATAATTTTTATTTTCAGGTAAATGAAATTATTACGACACCTTATCACAATACATTATGTTTACAATGCAATGCAGTGTGCCATGAACGATGCTCATTGACTGAAACTACGCAAAGTGGTGAACATGTTTTTCGGCGATGCACAGTTATGAATAATGGTCGATGCACGGTATGTCCTGGTAAATGTTCATATGATATGCATTATCATGATCGACGTTTGATCAAATCTGTTCCGAAAACATTGAACACTGCTATATCATCCTTATCGAATAAGTATATTGAAGCAGAAAAAGATAAAGTAGCATGTAAACTCAAATGTAAAAGTGTTCAAGAAACGAAACGTTTCATTGAACAATTATTACAAGAACAATGTGATAAAGTCCATGATGCTTGTATGCGTGTACAAAGTAATTGCGAAGGGTTTAATATTACAGAAGAATTATGTACATTTGTTGGTCTTCTGAAAAATGATTTGAATACGTTGAGATCATCAGCAGTAATTCTTAAAGCGGCAAAATTTATTGAAAAATTAGAAATACTTGCGAATGATCATTCATTGACATTATCCGAACGATCGTATCCAGCTGTAACTAAAAAGAAGATTCGACATTCAAAACGAAGAAACCAAGTGCAAGTCACAACAACAACAACAACAACGTCAAATGATGATCTTATGATAATCGATGAAGGGCCAACATCGGCATTGGTTACACAAATGAATCATAGTCCAAGCGAATTTTTATTATTCGGAGATGATCTATTTAATCGTATTAAAACTTCTCAACGAGACGTATCAAATTTTTCAACTAGTCCAAAATATGCTAAATATACAACAGCACAGCTAATTGCTTTAACTCGTCAATCCATGGAGAAAAATATAATGATTGCAAAAGAATTAAATCGTCGTTGTGAAGCAGCTTCAATTGGTTATTTATCAGCAACACAATTATTAACTCTATGTGAATATTATGCATCGTGTCGTCTTTTAAGAACCGATGAGCTTAATCGTTTATATTTTCAACTCCAATCGGAGTTACAACAATCGAATGATTCTGTTTCATCGGAAATCATGCCAATGTCCGTTGACAAATTGTTACATTTAACTGCTATAAAACTTTGCTTAGAAAATACCGATAAATTTCAATAGAACTGCTATTTTGCGTATTTCAGATGGCGTTTGTAATATTTTTTCAAGGCTAGCATTTTTCGTAGGGAAAGATTAAAACGAAACATTGCTGTGAATAGCGTTATTTTAAATTTTATTTCGAAACTGAAAAAATTACAATATTCGAGTTTATGTGTTCTCTTCTGAGCGCATCTTCAGGAGCGACAATGTCAAAGATAAACTAAACCCAATATCATATTTGATCGAGAGACTATTAAGGGATCCGACGATTGAATGGTATTTAATTGTTTTATCACTACTTAGTACCTAATGCTAACATTAGAAGTCGGTTAGAGTTTTGTGCTAGGTTTCATCGAGTCCGACAATCAACATGGTTCTCATCTTTGCATTTGAAGTTTAAGCAAAATTATTAATTTATGTGTAAAATTGAAATTAGAAACAATAGTTACGCAAGAACTATAAAAATAAATTACTTAAACATTTTTAGATTCTTTTTCCTTTGAAGATGAACCCGTGTTTTATTGTTATTACTTTGAGTACGTAGAGTAGATTGATATATATGCGCCCTAATATTGATGAATATTGATACAACGTGAAAAATGTACGTTTATGAAAAAAATCTATCACTGCGCCAAACCATGGTTAACAATGATTTTTAGTAATTAGAAAAGAAAGCGCTTTAGTTCGAAAGAATTTGTGAAGCTTCTACTTATATGAAATATTGTTATTTTTTATATTTGCCTATGGGAAAGGTAACATAATATGTTAAAAGAGGATTTATAATTGTTTATGTTCGTGACGGTAGGTACGACATATTTAGTGTGTATAACAAATATTCGATGAGTTGTGTTAGCATAGAAACGGAGTGTAAAGTAATGATTCAAGTTTTTTTTTATAAGAAAGCGTTTATGAAGAAAATGTTATCATCATTGATGAAAAGACGCTTATTTTGCGTACTGTTATTGAATAAAAGCGTTGAATAGAGTTAAACTAGTACTTCCTCCTCCATAAGCCATCCGCAACCAAAAATCAATTTTATACGTGCTACCGATCGTAGCCGAAAAAGATTGGCCAAGATAAACAATTGCCCCACTACCAGTATCCGGACAATCAACCAAAAAACAGTTACCAGTAGATAAATAGCAGTTGGTGCCCCAAGTGACCTGTGCACCAGCTCCACCAGTACAAGTGTAACTACACCATACTAGCCAGTCTGTTGCTATTGTTGTTGAATTGCCAAAATTTGGATTCGCCAGTAATTGAATAGACGGTGAACTAATCAATGTAGCAGACACATCACCCAAAAAATAGTTACTATTCAAATTAGTGGTGAAGGAAAATATGAGAATCGGCGTTGTAGTTGCTGCTACATAATTAAAACTATACTGAGTCCAAGACGATGGAGTTGTCCCACTTGTAGAAAACAGAGGTGTGAAACCGAAATTGTTCCCACTATAACATGTCGTTACTATGATAAATTCATAGAAAAGAAATATGATTATTAACAGTAACTCTTACCTGTTGTTGTAGTCGTAGTTTTTGTCGTAGTCGCTACAAATAATAGAAATTATGCAGTTTTGAATCACACTTGATCGGATTTACTAAAATGTGTTGTTACAAGCAATGCTTACCATAGTTTATCTGAAGTAGTTAGCCGAAAAGATTCCTGTAAGAATTTCAAAAATTACTCTATACTCTATCTGTAGCAATATGAATGAATCTTTCAGAGATCTTAGGTCTAAGTAGAATTCATCTGCAATAAATATTTCAGGATCTTTATTTTCGTCGTTACGAAGTTGTGGCGTCAAAAAATTGGTTTTGATCAAGTTTTTTAAAAATTTTAATCGATGGGGTAACTCCTTTGTGATGATCATGAGCTTTCAAGTACGTTCACAATACTGAGAAAAATAAAAAGTGAATCGCAAATTATGAAACATTCGTTTATATTATAAATATTTTTCTTGATTGCTCTCTATATAGTCAATAGTAAGTACGTCGTCAAATTATCGACTTTGCAAGACTGATATCTCAGATAGCTATTATGATCTGTGCAAAAATGATCCATCCAGTGAGGGGTGTTCGTAAAGAATTCAAGTTGGTATCGCTGTGAATATGGATTAACGATTTTTATAGAGTATATTATGATTTCAAGTCAAATCAGGTTCGCAGGTCTGGGAATCTCTGACTTAATGTGCTCTATAAGCTAAAATAATGCTTGCATGGTTCTTAGCTCAGTGATATCATACAGGACTATTCAAGCAATTTAATACAAAAATATAGCGTACTCAACACAGTTGTTGTAGTAGTTGTTGATGCCGTCGAAGTCGTTGCAGACGTTGAGGTCGTGGTTGAAGTTGTACCTATTAAAAATTAGATCGCACCCCATTTCCACTTTCGAAAGATTAACTTACTTGATGTACTCGAAGTGGTACTAGTCGAGCTTGTACTTGTCGAGGATGTAGTACTCGTACTCGTCGTTGTAGTAGTGCTCGTACTTGTCGTCGATGTTGTGCCTATAGTTATTAATAACAATATGCAAAAATGGTGAAAACATGGATTAAAAGCAAACATTGATAACTTCAATGATGATGCCTATCTACTCTCATCATCGCTTCGAATTGATATAAATCAATAAGTAAAAGATAAAAACGTCATGCATGACAATAGAAAGATATATTACATTTCTGCTATTAATAAATGGTCATTCTCTATTAAAATAATTCTACTCTATGACAGTCCACCAAACATATCAAAATATTAAGAATATTTACATACGAAGATATGTTTTAATAAAATGAAAACACAACTAGAAAGTTACAGAAAATTCACCAGAAACAATTTATTCGGCACATTTTATTTTCGAACAACAGTGAAGTTGAAAATGCAAAAATGAATTGATCTATATACGTATATAAAATAACTCCGACTGGCTAGTACTTATGTAGAGTTGATTTCATTTTTTCGTGTTTGACTAAATAATATGTTTCTCCAATGAGCAATACTCGTCGAGCACATCATATCAGATAGTGAAAAATGATTTATAGCCGATGTTAAATACAGTCAGTTTTTATTTACTGGATGTGGGTGAGGGATGACTAACAGAACACCCACCCAGTCAGCCACATCTTCGATTTATTCAAGGATATTTATATGTTACATGGGAAGGACGTCGAGTAGTTGTTACACTGCTCGACTTCTTTCGAAAATGCACCCTTGCTTTACACCGCTGCAGGTAGCTCAATGCATCACTGGTACGATCGTCAGGTTATTTGAATTGCAGGAAATAAGCAAATAAAAGAGGACAAACAATTGATGTTTATAATGAATTTTCGATTCATATGCATGAAATCAGTATAAGAAGAAAAAACTGATTGAAAAACTTCAGTGGATTCGTTTCAAAATAGTCTCAGATTTCCTAAGGCTAAAGGTAAAATATCGTTTTTTTTTCTTGTAAAGAATGAACCGTTGAAAAATAATAACAAAACCTTTCAATGAATATGAAGCTCGGAAAGAAGAAGCATTTGTAGATTATTCACATTTCGTCATCGGTGCATTTTATAAAGTATATTCGTACAAAAGTGAAAAATTTATAATTAAATTTATCGTGAACAATACAAAGTACACCTCTGAATATAATGAAATATTGCGAAGGCTTTTCATAACGATGCAACAAAGCAAAATAAATCATTTCTCCTGCCTTTCTTTTGTGTACCCTTACGGAGCATTTTTTTAAATCTGTTTTTGGTAATAGTAGTTTTCTTCGTTATTTTCGTAATTTAGACTCATTGTGTAAATTCTTTTGTATTCTATTGGTTACGTGTTTCATTTTTTAACCGAATGGATAGAATAGTTTATCGAGACGTTCTCAATTTGAGATTCATGCTTATCTATGACGTTGCTCTGTTTTGAGCTTACACCCGTTCGTGATCACAATGTATTATAAATCCTAACATAAAAGTTCACGTATACTTCAGTCTACTCACTTGTACTTGTTGTCGATGTTGACGTACGAGGCTTTGGTACTGTTTGCAATTTAATGATTCAAGAAAGTTCAATTAGTAGTCAGTAAGATTAAAAAAATTCTACGTACATAGTTCAATAAGAAGAATAGCCACAATTGCTGATAGAAGAAGAGCACAGCAGAGCAAGCAACAAAACAAAATCCATGGAGAGCAAATTCTTCGCTTCCTAAATAGAGATTTGAAATGAAAAAGAATATTAAAACAAAATTTGATCATTTTTTTGAAAACTCTTCACGAAAGTAACTCTCTGTTAGCTCAATTTGTGAAATCAATATTTCATCTATCTGAAATCTGCTAGGTTTTTGCATAAAAGAAAAATAAAAGCATATATTTTCAACATAAACGATTTATATTGAATTTTGACAGCTCCACAACTCGAGTCAAAATTAGAGAACAAGAGTCATGATTACAAACAAGATTTTGGGGGCTAATCACATAACCATTATATACTTCTCAATATGAGTGTAACTTGTCCTATCAATAATTTACTTACTTTCGTCTTTTTTTCCCATTTGATTCAGATAGTTCTCCTAATATGTTTGAATTACGGACGAAAGTCGGTATTGAGATACGCTTGATTGAATTCATCCACTTATGGTTTTGCTGAAATTTAAAAAACATAGCAAGACATTTCCTTCAATTATTTTGATATGTATGAATGATAGACTCACTTTGGTGGTTTCAGTATCAAAATGCATAAAAGTATCGACGGGTACGAACTTTCGTTGACTGATGGGCGTAATGCGACGATGGTAGCGACTTGAAAGCGTACGCGAAATTTTTTTAAATTGTGAAGTTCCTTGTTTCCAACTATTTTCATAATAAATAGGTTGGCGTCTCGTTCGGCGAATTCGCGTGACACGCGGTTGATAACGCGCTGATGAGATACGTGACAATTTAATTATTGGCTCGGATTGATAGTTCACTGTATTGGCAGAATGAATCAATTCAAGGTTACTCTTACTCGAGTGTATGACTCGAGTTGGATCAGTGGACGGCATGGATGATGATTGCATCCCGGCTGCTCTGTGCTTTATTATTCAATGAAATGAATTGATTACGCCTTGTTTTGTATTTGGTTCTCTATTGATATGTAAATACGAGTTCCAAGTAGGTTTCTCATTGACTAGCTCATTCACAAAAGGGATTCTTTCAACAAATCTGATTGATTTATTTTTGTTGATTAGGTTTAGTTGGCAATAAAATAAGAAAGTGGCAATTGATCATACACATGCTATGGTCCCTGTTACAAAGAAAGATCATATATTGCACCTCTCATATGCCTTTCTTATTGTTATTATGCAAGTTTATTAGTGTGCGTGCACTCCGAATCGAAAAAGAAATAAAGTAAGTAAGACTCGTTTGTACCAAAAGACAATTCAGAATCAAAATGACCTAGATCTTAACAAAAATTACAAATCAATATGCTACGCTCAACTCTTGCTTCTCAGTAAAGTGATATAATCGAAAGTCACTTTAAAAAATTACAATAATAAATTGTGGGTGTGGGTGTGCTGAACGATCATACCCGCACCGTCAAGATAGTCGCGTCATGCAATGAACAATTAGCAAAGTATCATAAAATAACGCTAACTACCAATAGGAAACAATTTAACACTAAATCGTTTATTTTAGCAATATTCGAGCTTTTCGACATTTATGATTTTGTCATCTTCTATAGTTGAGATTGCAACATTTCACTTCAAAAATCCATGTAAGTTTCGTTGAAATTCCTGGCTCAACACCTGGAGATATTCCGTCGCAAGAGTCGGTATAGAGCATGCCCCACATATGCCGTTTATTCCTTGTAAAATGATATCTCACATATGTACTCCTTCATCTTATATAGATGTTCATTTTTACTGTCACCTGTCGGCACCCAATGAACTGAAAGCTAACTCAGATGGTTACGAAGTCAGATATTGACCATGTCAGATGTAGCTAATTCATTCATTCGCTAATAAACTAGTTAGCTAAGATAAAATTTCATATCTAGAATCGATTATATTTGATTCGGTGAAGTTAGAATCGGTGAAATTAAACTTTGAATTTATTTAATTATTCATTTATTGATTATATTATCTATTATTTTGGTATAAGAGAAATACAAGGCAATGTTTTTTTCGACTGATTTACAAAATGCGCCAATACAAGCGAAATTCATCGAGTAAAAGTATATAAAAAGAAATTTTATAAGTAAATGTTTTTTTGTTTCACCAGAAAGAAATGCGTTTTCACAGCATGGGCACTTCAATACCTGCTCTCATTTAAATCTAAGAAACAATTAAGAATTGACTGAAGATTGGCCGTAATTTGTGCGTTCAAAATGATTTCAGCATCGATAAAGTCCAACATATTCTGCGTAACTCGTATAAGCTGCCACGAGATTATATCAACGAATAGCGTGCTAAATAATTTTTTATTGCAATGTTGCTGATCGTTTTTCTAATTTTTGAAATAGAGGTTTTGCGCAATGCAATGCGACTAAATGAGGGGTGTCCAAGGACTGAGATTGAGGAATTTCTCCTCAGTTCCCCAACAGTTTCTTGCATACTAAAGGTAAAAATATGGAATATTCAAGATAATTTTTGTTCTTCGGCTCATTTCCGCGTGCAAACTTGTGAGAATAAATAGTTCTGTGCACAAACTATTGTGAAAAAATCAATATCGCGACTTTCGTGAATGGCGAAACTGTGAGGGAACCAATGGTTGATTCCCATTTCTTCTAGGAATTATCACAGCGGCACTGGCAACTACTCGGCAGATTAGGAATTCCTATTTCTCAGTTCTTGAATATTGCTGAAAATTAATTGAGGCATGATGAGGTAAGCAAAAAGCAATGTAGTGAAATTTTCTCCAACTCTACTTTTTTTTATTTGTGTGAAACGTTAACAACAACAAAAAAATAAATGATACGCCGATGATTCAACATAGGGTTTTTGTTTGATTAAAGTTTTGTATCAAAATGGAACATTGATTGCATCTATATATCTGGAGTGAGTACAACCTGAGATGTTTCTGGATTGAATGGAAGTGACACATGTTCATGTGCAATAAACCAACGTCCATTTTGTCTCTTATATCCAACAGTTGCGCGCATCCAAGTTTGGCCTGCTGGATGATCCTTTGGCATGCCAGTAAACCACGAGACCCAATGAACAAATGCTGTATCACCGCTAACATTAATATTCATATCCCGAGTTTCGACCTGAAAAGATTCCGGAAAATAAGGTAAACGTTGTTCCCATGTTCGTCTCCATTCAGTTACACCTTTAATCTGGAATGGAGGCTTCACGTCGAAGACAATTACATCATCGGCATAGTTGACCATCATTCGATCGATATCTTTCGCGCACAGAGCACTTGTCCAATCATTAATCAATTGTTGAATCTGTGTTTCGTCATTGTTTTCCAAAGTCATTTTGTTTTAAAACTAGTACACCTATTTCAAAAATATAATCTACAATAAAGATTTTATATTAATTTTTTGTAAACAATATAACTGTTACAAAGTAATAAAGAGCATTTATGGAACCGTTTATCGACTCGAACTCCTCAATAGAATGTATGCCAAAAGAAAATTAAAAAGAATATTCTCCAAAATTACAATGACAGCTTGTAGCATCCAATGTCACGTAATTCTTTTTGTCGATTTAATAAGGTATATGTTCGGTGATGATTTGGGAAAACACATTCTAAATAAACAAGCACATTCGTTCAGTTTTCCACTGAAGTAACTTTCTGCACTTCAAAACAAAATTGGAATAATAATCTCTTTTGAAGGATGTAAAAAGAATTTTGGAAAATTCACTGTAAGCCAAAATTGATATTTTCACTTTGAATAATTATCGAAGTAAACTGAAACAAAAAGAGTTATTTTGTTTGATAAATTTAATTTTAATTTTAAAACCAATAACGATTGGAAATTAAAAAGGCTTTCGATTGGATAAGTCGTTCGACCAATTCTAAATAAAATAGATAAAAAGAAAAGAAATTATTGATCGAATTTTAAGGATGCTTACTACCTTGAATGTGCACGTGTCGAGAATGAATAGATAGTCATCCACATCGGTGATTGATAAACTTATTGAATTTGAATTGTGCAAGCGGAAAACTAAGATAAGCGGTGATAAATAAATCATATTCTTTAAAAATCATATATTTAACTGGGTACTTCTACACATTACACACACCCCACTTATCGATGACACAGAACAGACAAAGAAAAAATATATGATTGGCTTTTCTCTTCTCTGGTGAAAGTGAGTTTGATTAGAGGACGCCAGATGATAATGTTTCAAACAGAACAATAACAATTATCAAAAATTAAAGTAGCTTAACTTTTTAATAAATTGGTTTACATGAGATATAAGAAAAAATGTTGTAAGCTATCATTCACAATCACAATGGCTTTCACACCACTACTACCCTTCGACTCTTTCACAGATCGTGAGTGGGTTGAACACACAAATACTACCGAAAAGATTATTGAATTTTGCCAAAATATCGGTTTGATTCCAATCAGTCCCACGACTCCCTGTGCCAAACAACATAATAATTGGTACATGGGAGCTTGCGCTCGCTCTCGCGACAAATACCTCTGGCGTTGTCGCACTTGCAAGAGTACACGTTCCATTCGCGACGGAACATTTTTTTCTAAATCAAAATTGGAACTCCGTCAAGTCATCGACTTGCTGTTCTACTGGTCGCAATGCAATGATTCGCATGAACATCTGCGACGTCATTGCAAATTCGCTAGCGAGTCGACAATTGTCGACTGGAAGAATTTTATGAGAGACATATGTGCCACGTATTTTTTATTACATCCGCCAACAATCGGCGGTGTTGGTCATATCGTCGAAATTGACGAAAGTTCGTGGACCAAGCGTAAATATAATGTCGGTCGCGTAGTTAATAATCAATGGGTTTTCGGTGGTACAGACCGTATCACTCATGAGTGCTTCGCCGTTCTCGTTGATCGTCGTGACGCGGCAACACTGCTCCCTATTATTTATCAGTATATACTTCCGGGTACAACTATTCACAGCGACCAGTGGGCCGCTTATAACAACATACGCAATGGGCCTCATCATTACATACATTTCACTGTAAATCACTCACAAAATTTTGTCGATCCCCTCACATTAACACATACTCAAAACATTGAGAACATGTGGATGTGTGCTAAGATGAAAAAGAAAAGGCAAATGGGTCAGCACGTAACTCTTTTGCAAACTCATTTAACAGAATTTATGTGGCGACGTCGATTCGGTGATCGCCCCTTTGAAAACATGGTTCGTTCCATTAGGGAAGTTTATCCTCTATTGTAATTTTTTTTGTTAAATAAAAATATATCTTCTCATACTAATTCATATTTGTGGTACTATCATCTGGCGTCCTCTAATCAAACTCACTTTCACCAGAGAAGAGAAAAGCCAATCATATATTTTTTCTTTGTCTGTTCTGCGTCATCGATAAGTGGGGTGTGTGTAATGTGTAGAAGTACCTTTAACTGCAAGTGTTGACCTTTGTATCATTGAAGGGTGTGGGTGGGATGTGGGTCGTTTTTATATCGCTCACACCGACACCGACACCCACCCACACCCTCAAGATAGCATTTCCAATTGCACAGTTTACTCTATCAGTAAACTATTTCTTTTGAGAGCCTCACAAATCAGAGAATTCACGAGTAACATAATGCAAAAGCAAATATAATTTGAAGGTTGTGAGAACTCAGGCCTTCTCCGTAATGCACCTAACATTCCTTTTTTTAAATTTTTAACATGAAAGAAGCGGTTTAATGACGTACATAGTAATAGATTGTGCGTTATCAGATAATGATAAATGTTATATACCATTGGATTGCAATTCTAATAATTATCTTTACTTTTTGCTGTAGACACTAAGTATATTGTACTTGCATCAGAATCAAATCGAAGACAAAGGATCACAAGGTTTAGCAGATGGATTAAAAGAAAATAAAGTAAGCTACTTTTCCATCTAGTCTGTGTAATATAGTTAGGGCACTACAAAGTTCTTTTGTGCCAGTCATCTAAACAAATATTCAAGAGAATGTGGATGTGAATATTCTTTTGAAGCGTATCCACTAACACCGATACTTATATTCTCATGAAACAGCAAAATTTGCTCATATCGAACCAGTGAATACCCTTTTTTTCAATGTTTTTAGCTTTTTAAAACTCTGGTTGCCTAGAAGACGATTGGGATAAACGTTGCTCGCATTATAAGATCAATAGAAAGACAGTACGATGCGGAGGGTGTGGGTGTGGGTATGAATGCCTTCTTCTAAAGTCACACTCACACCTTCACACAACCATGTCATACCCCACACCCTAATTAAAGAAAATAGACTGACGGTTTTATGAACTGAAGTCCTCTCTGTAATACATTTAATGCTTTTCTTCATACCTAATTTGGACGAAGCAATAAAAGTCAATACAGTAAGCTATCTGCCTCTAGCGGATTTTTTGACTTGACATTTTTCCTGTCACACCTAGTTATCAAAATCATATTTTATCAACCCAGACGAATTTACACGGATGCGCTATTTGTTCAAAGAACGTTCATAGGATGCAAGTTTTGAGATTAGATTCCGACATGAAAATCCAAGGAGAACGAGCAATTTTCACAGATGTAAATTACGATCACAATGCACATGAAGTATTTCTACTCACTTATGAGTGTTTACTGAAAATGTAAACCTCTATTCGCTAGTAGTGATGTGTGAAAATAAAAGTTCAACTTTTAATTCTAAAGTTTATTTATCGAGGATTTTCCTAGTTTACTTGTTTCAATATTTCTTGGAACGAACGATTTTCAAATGAATGATTTGTGCTTTACTTTTGAATTTCAGCTCTAAGTGAAAACGTTTCAAATTTTTATTACATGGTTAATAAAAGAACGCTCTCCAAAGAAATAACTCCTACAACTGAAAGCTGTCGTTCCTGTTCAACTGAAAGCTGTCGTTCCTGTTCAAATGAAAGCTGTCGTTCCTGTTCAAATGAAAGCTGTCGTTCCTGTTCAAATGAAGAAATTCTGCTCCTTTTACCTCAGTGAAATGATGATACTGTTTAAAAAACGATACGATCAAGAATAATATTATGTAATATTCTTATTATTAGTAAATACACTAATAATGCTTGCAATTTAATGATTTGCTCCATACATGGAGTTGTGAAATCTAGAGTTATTAGAATAGAACAAGATTTTTTCCGTCAAGCAAACGAAAACTATTTCTCTGACTTATTCGGCAACGATATATCGATTGCTTGTAATTCAATGCATTATATTATAAACTTCTTGTAAAAATGAAAAGCCACTTCGAACCAGGAGCAAAACTATTAATTAAATAAGTTCAGCGTGATCTATCTATGTCATCATTATGTTTTTCTGTTACATAAGAAATGTATGAAGAAACACAAAACTTTGAGATTCCTCCTTTGTTTTATCCGATACTAATTAGTACCCTGAATGTATTCAAGAACCTGATTGGATTTATCTTAAAATATGTAGAGACTGATTGAAAAGTCCCAATGAATCATAATGAAATAAGTCCCCGCAGCTGCTGAAATCGGCTACACTAGCCTTTGAAGTAAATTACTTCTTTTTGTTTCCAATCACATCAATTTTTAGAAACTTCTAGTGCATAGAGTTAGCACATCCGATCAACTTACATAATGAAATATAACTAAACTTTTGAATTTCACTATTTATTTTGTCGCTGAAATATTCCTCTCGAGACCATCTACAATTAGAGAACTCACTTTTTAATTAATGCTAGAAGATATATAACCTGACAGTTTTCCAAACTCAACTTTTCACTTTCCAACTACAAAAAAAGTAGTCTGATATCATGTACAGTGACAGATGTGCATTCTCAAATATAGTTGACGTTGGACACCATTAGCATGCGACTTCAATAATCATCTTCACTTTTTACCATAGACACTAACCCTAGTACAGTTGCAGCAGAATCAAATCGGAGACAAACGAGCAGAATATCTCGCAAATGAACTGAAAGATAATAAAGTAAGCTACTTTTCCAGCTAATCTCTGTGATGTATATGGATCACTACAAAAATATTTTTTGTCAACAATTTAAAGAAATATTCAAGGACTAGTTCTAGTGTTGTTTTTACAGCGTACCGTACCTAATTAATAATGCGTTTGTGCTCGATTAAAATAGGTTATGAGAGTAGTCATTGAAATCATTTTTTCTGTGTCCGTTAACAGTCTGTTTAAGCACACGTTGCACGGTTTCGTCGTTGCTGAATGCAGTTTTATATAGTTGAAAGTTGCGAGAATTTCTCAAAATTTCATTAATGTTCTTGGTGAACACTCAGGTGACCGATGCTCATCTATTTTATGGTTATTCTGTCTTTTCTTACTACTGATTTTTAGGAAATGAAAATCTCTATGCCTTTTTATCGAATAGATTGTAACTGAAATTGGGGTGGGTGTGGGTGTGACTATGCACTAAGACAACTCCAATACTCAAGCCAACACAATCACGCACCCACATCCACACCCTGACGTAATCAACTTTTTTTATTCTGAAATATATCAATTGCCTTAATTTATTATAAGATAAATTATTCGTCCACCGAGGGTGTGGGTGTGAAAGGAGGTGCAATGTAGAATTGAAAAGGCGAATGAACAATGAGATGCAACGACAAGTTGTGGGAGTCGGTGTAGTCCAGTGAGTAGTACATATATTGATTCACACGAAGAAGGACTCCTCCCGTCACACACATACACAGCCGCATTCACATACACAACAACCCCCCACCATTTTTTAAAAATGTTTTGAGAATTTCTGAGTTTAATGAGTCATATTTGGCGCCTTGGTTTTTCCCTACTGTAGGCACGTTTCGTAGGAAGTATTACGACTTACATCACTTTGTATGAGAATGATAACAAAGATAAAATAACTATAAGAAGCATGCTTATTTTGACAATACAGAATATTTGAATTCGTAACGTTGCAAAAGGACACGCCGCTCAAAATTACTAGAGTAAGTTGCTATATTTCGTTTAACTGCCATTCTGACACTATAGTATCGTAGGCTTGAGTTAGGTTATGTTTTCTTGCATGTAATTTACTATTTCCTTCGCAGCTGTCAAGAGAAAATAATGGCGCCAAATTCCAGTCAAATCGAGTGTTTTGAGTTATTTATGGTTGATATCAGTACATCCATGAAGAAACATGATGGTTTTTGGAACTTTTTTGGTAAGACTCGTTTCGAACTGGCGAAACAGATTTTGAACGGCGTATTGAAAGATAGGTGAGGTCCAATATAATATCAACATTTCGCTCATTAATTTTAAATATTTTCACTTTCAGAAAACAATCTAAAACAATCAATGTTGCTCTCTTAGTCTATGATACCAGTTCGGCGAAGCGTTTCGACTTTTGCCACATCACAAACAAAGAGATTCAATATGTTAATGAGCTAAAACCAGCTGGACCAACCACAGCTACGTATGATGCGTATAAAGAATCTATAGATTATTTGAAAAAAGATGCTTCTCAAAGTGCTCAAGAACGACGGATTATCATAATTACAGATGGCGGAGATAACAACAGTAATCCAGAAAACGTGAGCAAGTATGCAAATATACAAATTTCTCTGGAAAAACAGAATTTCATGCTGCGTACGATCTTATTGCAAACATCAACAAACAGCAATGGATCGAAACAATTGGCACATGAACTCGGTTGGGAGTATAAACAAATACGCAAAGATAATGTTGATCTTGTTACAAAGAGTTACCTTATAGATTATCCGTCTGAATACACTGGGATGAATCGTAGTGAACGAGAGAAAACCAAAAATTTTCAAGCCACAATGGAGAGGGCGCCAATACCTCCACAAACGGCACCAATTTTACACGAGCATACAAGCAGTAAAACAACTAATATAGGGAAAATTTTACTGACAGAAACGATACTAGAATGACGATGCATACCGCTATCGCAGTTCAAGGATGAAATGTATACCATCACGTGACTCAAGGATGTGTGGGTGTGGGTGTGGGCGGGGTGAGGATTTGGGCCCTCTCTTGAATCATACCCACACCCACACTCTCAAGATTCCAGTGGCCAAATTGTCAAGACCTCATTTTGTTACAGTTGACTAATTGGCAAGAGTATCCTAGTTGTTCAAATAGGATCTAAAGAAAGCAAAGTCGTAGTTCATCAACAACTATTTTCAAGTTCAGTTGAGAATGCTTTATAAATAAGTTCGATTAAGATTCTATGCTGAATTTGATCACTGAATTTCTACGAGCATAATCGTCAAAGACAAGTCTTTCCTATTCTCTATTAATTTTTTTATATCAAGAATCTAATAAAAGTTTTGGGACGATATATTATAAGTATTCTATCATCTTTCCGTTCATTATAACATTGAGAAGTATTTTTGATTAAAAGAGCTTCTTTCCTATATTTTTAAAACTGAAATATTGTCGTGCACATGCTAATGATCATGTAATATCGAATCAATAAGAAAACCACACTTAAATTGCCAATAATATCTGCCTTTTTTAGATAGCCATTTTGCCTTTGACCAAGTTTGTGTGAGTATTTTTCAATTTAATTTGGTGAATCGTCAGAATAGTTTCAAACATAAGTCGTATTTCTTTCGCTTATTTAATATTTTGCTTGTTTTGAAGTGAAAACCAGTGAGAATAGTTAGGATAGAGACTATTATCTAGAAACTTCTGGGATTTAAGATTATCTCTTATATTATTACAATCAAAGAGCTCTGCTTTAATTACTAGAAAAGAGCATATAACATGATTCAGTGTCAACTAAACAATATGGTACAGACCATAAACTCTAGTTTGTTACATAGTAAAAGATTTCGAACCGTGTTGAAATGTAATTCCCATATAGACATGAACCTATATGTATTTAAATGTGAATCAAATCACGGACAATGGAGCACAGCATCTAGCAGAAGCGTTAAAAGCCTGGGTGTAGGTGTGAATCAAAATATGTGCTTTTATCGAAATATAATTATGATAACGTAAAACTTATTTTCCGTTTCGAAAGCGTTCTTGCATTCGTTGTGAGCCGTGTATGCAATTATCGCAGATAGGACTATAATGGGCACCACCACTCTTGACTAAATCACCTAAATTCACAGACTTTTCATGATGAACATTTACAGGTGATCCACGTGGTGACCAATTGTTTGACATATATCGTGCGTCAACAGTTACTGTTTGTGAATTTTTTCCAAAATTTTTTCCTTTATGTACCAAAAATCGTTGACCATCTTCATAAGTAGCTACTTGTCCCCGATGATTAATACCCAACTTATTTAAAAAGTTACCACCCGGCATTTGTAATGGACGACTATATTCTTGGATGGATTGTATTGGTTTGTTATATAACGTATTCAATTGTTGTTTGTTATGTGTATAATGAAACTGGCCATTTTTTGATGATGATGATGATGACGAAAAAGCTATATAGCATGGCGTTAAGAATAATAATAGAAGAAGGTTTATTACAAGAGACTCCATGATTTATTTTATCAAAAAATAAGTAAAACAAATTGTTGAAACTTGCTGAGTGAAATAGAAAAAATGATAAAGTTGTCTTTATTTATTAGTCAGTAACCAAAGATAATGTATAATTCTAGACAGATATCATATTTCCCTAATAGTTGTAAATGTTACTTAATTTGTTTTTGTTTTTATGAATCGAAAAAAGATAAGACAGGAAGACAATACGTAAATGTTTGATGAGATTCGAAAAACAATAATCTGCATCAATCACCCAAATTCAAATATTCACAGAGGAATAGAAAGAAGTCGCTTTTTTCATACTGTTACGAAAATGAAAATACAAGATATCTGAAAAGTTTGCTGTGCAAAAAAGAAAAATAATTATTATTGTTTTTTCAAGATCATGATTGGATGCTCCTTCAAGTTCTATTTTATATGTTGTCTTATTAGTTTATCGTGCTCATCGACATTAGAGTACAAACAGTTTTCTTGATAGTCAAATTCGAATCATTTGCCGTTGTGAAATGAGCATTACAATTGGATATGGATACCCAAAAGAGACACATAGCCTGTACGTATTAGAGATGCTTTTCAGCTCTTTTCTCAGAGTAATATAGTGTCAAATCGAAAAATCTAGAAAAAACCTTCAAAAATGATAGAAAACATAAAGTAGGTGCATGATACTTGTGAAAATGAGCAACTATCGAATGCTTGGAGTGTCTTCCTTCAGACATCTGGGGGAAAGAAATACACCCTTTCTAATACAGTAGTAGTATAACTATCCGGAAGGCAGGAGATGAACCGTTCGAGGGTGTGGGTGGGTGCTGGGTATGGCTGTTGGCTGTTTCAATGTGAACGGAAGGCAAGCAACACTGACGCCAACACGCACACTCACACCCTAAAGCTTCAAGCCTCTGAACAAACAATTCAACTAGAAGAACTATGTAGTGGTAATTGTAGAAGTTCAATTTAGGAAACTCTCAAGTCATCTTGTAGGAACTTATCATATTACATGGTGGCAGTATTATCTAAGTTAAGTACATAACAAAATTAAACATATAATCCGATATTTACATTTATCTTTGTTCAATGCTTAATCATTGAAGTTTCTACAGAACACAAAGTACAAGAAAATTGAAAAAGAATGGACTCAGTTAAAGGAGACTAGGATATGAGGGTTTCACTTAAGAAAATACTTCATTATATTGACTATTTGAAATAAAAGATACATCTTGAATGCATGAGTCGATTTATATTTTTGGAATAACTTCTCGTAGACTTAATCTATTGAACTGGAATCTTTGCCGTGAGATGTCAAGCTCAAAAACAAAAACTTTGAAAAGGACTTCTTAAATTCAAAATATTTGATTTATATTCCAAACATTTAAGTAAATATGATTTCTTCTACATGTACATCTATTAATTAATTGAATATCGATGATTCTAACATGTTTACAAGAAAATAAAAGTAGTCATTCGTGCCAATGAATTGTATGAAGGTGTACACCGTTCATTCCCGATAGTGCAAGTTTATTTTGATCGAAAAGAATAGCACGATATGGACATGGATAGTACTTTATTGTTTCCTTGATTTTTCCATCTTTTGTTATCTGAAGGAGACGTCCGGTTTCATAGTCGACAATGAGCCATTGGTCACAAGTAAGTGAACAACATCGGAATGCTATTTTTTGCGTACAAACAATATCAGGTTGAAATAACCAGATGCGATCCAATGTCTTAGCATTTCTCAGTTCCATGTGTATGGATTTCTTGAGCATATTCATAACCATAAGAGCAAGATTTGCATTATTATAAACAACACCAACGATAAATTCATCTTTTTTACATAGGAGAGGATGTTTTCGTTCTCTAACGAATTCAATTGCTGGAAATAGTATGTATTCCATAATCGATGAAGCACATTCATTTGTAACAACGAAAAGAACTGCCTCCGAACATGTGCATGATATCCAATCTTGTTCTCGAATGGTATCTACTTCTTGTATAGACATTGTATTTTCGTTAATGCAAAAGATACTATTTGCTCCAAGAACAATAAATTGACCTAAGCTTACCGACCAGCACATGTCACGAATTTCACCGTATGACCATACAGTTTGTGTGACTATATTCGCATCTCGATCAAATAAACATAAATTTGGATGTTGATGTATCAGTAAATGTTGACCGTCACAAGCTAATGATTGAAAACCTCCTTCAGGACGATGAATAGCTTTGTATGCATGCGAAAGACTCGATAAATTAACATCATGTTCGTTCGTTTTCTTAATATCAATGGACGTATCATTTAGTATTAATGGATGAGTAGTGATTTTGAAACATGTTTCTTCTAAATCCATTATACTGCTTCTAATTTGACTCATCTTTGAGATCAATAAATCGATATCTTGATGAGTTGTTTTTTGTGCATTGTTGAGTTCAGTTAACTTTATTTGTATTCGATTGAGCTCGTCTTTTTGTTGATTAACTTTTTCATTAGCAAGTCGATCAAGTTCTTGACATTTTTGTTCGAAAAATAAGTCTATCTTAGTATAACAATCTTCACGCCATTGTTCGAGCTTTCGACGACTATTACCAATTATTTTAAAAATATTTAATGTTTTAAGACGATCGTCAAGTATATTCGTTTGATTATTAAATTGATTTAGATGAGAAATGGATAATTTATTGTATTCATTAAAATGTTGTAAGCACAGATTTTGCTGGCAACAATGACACAAACCACGTGACATGTGAATGCATTTTTTTACGGAACAAGATTGATGCATTTTATAAAAATAGTTAATAGAATTGCTATGTCGTGTATATATAATGTGACAAGAAAAAAAAATTAAATCCTACGTTATTGCTCAATAAAATGCACCTTAAGAGAATAAATGAAAAAGTATTGTTTTCTTTTAATTATACAATGGAAACTAAGACTTCATCCGACCTTCAAATAAATATGAAGAAAATGTAAGAATAATGATTTTACATAAATAAAGAAGAATAAAAAGTGATGTGAATACTTGTTTCATTTATTACTGATCGTTATGTAAGGATCCATGTCCGGAAAATTGAACAATAAATTATGTAATGCTCTCTGATTTCCATCTCCGAATGATATACTTTTGGAAAAGCCGCATGCGTTGTCGAAGAAAATTGTGTCTCATTTTTTAAAAGAGAATTCATCAGCAATAAACAAAATTACAATAAAATAGTCCATCTGCTGTCTACTCGTATCCATTGGTATAAGCCACATACATTACTATTGTTGATATCTTTGTGAAGATATGAATATGAAGAGAAGATTCACAGATACAGATACAGTCACAACCACATTCTTAGTTCATGATTAGGGGTGGCACTTTATCTTTACTTTACCTGTTAAAGTAAAGTTCGCTACTTTACTTTACCCGGTAAAGTAAAGTAAGTCAACTTTACCCGAAAAGTAAAGTAAAGTAAAGTAAAGTAAAGTGAATTAAATAAAGCTGAGTTTGTTGCCCATTTTTTAGCCCAGTATCATGCACTAATAACGCTGCAGCATATGAAAGTATTTTTGGAACGATTTATTCATAAAAAAAGTGGAAAATAAAGTACAGTAATGATGAAAAGGTCACATTTTTCATAGATGAACACTTTTGTATGCTGCAGCGTTATCAGAGCTTGATACTGGCCTAGAAAATGAACAATAAGCCTAACTTAATACAAGTCATTTTACTTTACTTTACTTTACTTTTCGGTTAAAGTTGACTTACTTTACTTTACTTTACCGGATAAAGTAAAGTTCACTGCTTTACTTTACCAAGTAAAGTAAAGTTCACTACTTTACTTTACTTTACTTTTTCAAAGTTAAGTAAAGATAAAGTGCCACCCCTAATCTTGACCATCCATGCAACTGTTTCATATACAAATTTAAAGATTCTTTCGATTCAGAACAACGTCCGACTTGAGTACTCAATGATTCAGTTCTTCATGAGCTGTATCAGCGATGTGAAAGTATAGATTCATTTTGTGAATTATTATTGAACGAAACAACCATTTTATCGTTCACCGATTGAACATCAACTGCAGTGAAAAGTATTTATTTTGAAACAAGCAAAACAATAGTGTCAACGACGTTAATCTCTTCCATTACTATTGGATCGAGTACTCAAATGGCATCGCAACAGCTGAAAGACAATCAACAAAAGAATATAATTTTTGCTACAACGATTTTCTCTGTATTCGTTATTATTATGTGCTTAATTATCCTTTTTGTTTTTAAAAGAAAAGAAATACATAAGTCAGCTGACGATTTTGAAATGCATCAAACAATCTTGTCCGCCATCGATGAAAAATGATCACTGGCGATTGATGTGTCGTTTAGTTTCATTTCAGAATATGTCTCTATCTATAAAGTAACACTATTTGACTGGCATCAATATTCAATTTACAATGAAAATAAATTTAATTCAAAGTTTCCAATGATTCATTCATCGGTAGTGCAAGTTCTTGTTGAAAATGGTACATTTCATCGGTTCATTCTTAGGTTCGATCAAGTAAACGCTGTTCACCACTGTGATTCACGCTGTCATGAAAATCTTGTAAGATTCTATCTTGTTCAGATTATGTCCGATAATGCTCTAAGCCATTTGGAAAAGTGCCGCAAAATTAGACAACGTTACTTCGCTGAAGATGAAGATCATATCGATATAGCACAAACATGTATTCTTATTGGTGATGCTTATAAAATGCTTGATCAATCAAAGATACAAAACGAATGTTTTTCTTCAACTTATTCAATTATCATTGAAACTGAACAAGCTATTGGGATACTCATGAAAAGAGTGAACACATAATAATACTACATATTAAGATAAAGTATACTTTCGACGTGTTGCTTTTGTTTGCTAGAGCGAATAATATGAAATAAAAACAGGTCGTCATAAACAAAACTGATGGTTAGTAAAACGAAAACTCTATTAATTCTTTGTTTCGAATCGATTTTCCTTCGCTACACAAGAAATAAATGCCTTTTTTAATGTATAATCACGACACATATATACATGACTGAAAGACTATTTCGAAATATTAATCCGAATGTGCTTTTGAGATACAAATGACCAGAAACATCATTGCTCATTATTCATGAAACGATGAAACATTTTTCTTTCATCTATTCATTAGAAATTGCACGTGCCAACTTTGAAGGATTTATCTTAGTTTTTGGGTGTGGGTGTGGGTGTCGGTTTGTGGGCCTCAATGGCTCTACCCTTCCCGTTCCTCTCGATATTGACGTCAAGAACCACACCCGCACCCTCACTTCTCGATTGATATTTGGCTGCAGTTTAGTATCAAGTTAATCAGGCAAAAAACTTGATTAGCCTTCACCTGATCTTTTGATATTTTGTATTCACTAAATATTCAACTACAATTAAATGCTCCTGACAAAATAATCGAAATCAAACGACGCGTTCGGTTATCTCATATATACCTTAGCAAAATAATACTTTCCTTTCTTTTTATTTCTATGTTATCATACCTTGGATAAAATTTATTGCCAGATGTTATATGGCATATGAATTATATTTCAAAATGTGTAGAAATCATGCTGAAATAAAAGAGTTGCCTGATATTTCAATTGGGCAATAAAAATAATATCAATCAAGATAAAATAGCAGTATAGGCTGGCTAAGAATTTGGTTGGGCGATAAATTACACCTATTTTATCTAGCTAAGACTGCTCTATTCATTTTTACGTTAATTTAATCTTAAAAAGCAATATCGATACATATTCTATAATTCTTGATTATTCTTAATGACTTTTCTATTCATGTTTCTGATCTAGGAATCTATGCCAACGTGAGCTCTTCGCAACAATCTATAAGTTTAGAACAAAATATAGCAATATATGCTTGAAACAATGCTATATTTGAAATCAACACGACTAGCCAAATTGAGTTATGGAGTCCATCCGGTTTATCGTTTCCCACGGAAATGACAGAAAAAAAGCTTTGAACGTTTCCGATCCCTATACATCTATGTCCTTTCTATAAGTCTTAATCTTGTACATATCTATCGGTATCTCCTAACCTGTACATCCAAATCTCTACATCTAAATCTTTACGTCTTAATCCTTACGTCTTAATCTATACATCTTAATCTATACGTCTTAATCTAATACGTCTTAATCTAATACGTCTTTATCTATACGTCCTAATCTATACGTCCTAATTTAATACGTCATAATCTTTACATCAAAATAATACAGATAAATCCTCACATCCCTTCTAGGTTACCCTATCTGGCGATCCCATGGGATTTTAGCAATATTACCTGGGATGCTAGCAACATCACCTAGACTTTTAGCAACATTGTCGGCCCGCTAGCAACATCATGTAGGAACCTAGCAGCACCTGTGAAGCAGCTGCATTCGAAATTCGCATGTTGAACTCCACAATGGCTAAAGGTAGATGCCGCTGTGTACACAGAGACAAGCGTTGGTCGCGGCTCTGCGGGGGGCGCTGTGCGCCCCCACGCTGCGACACTAAAATATAGGGTTGCGTGGTTACCCATTGTTTTCCTCTGCATGATCTCGCATTACTTATAATTGTTCGCTATCGTTTCTTTTTTTCCTGAGTTTACCTGGGACTTAATTCGAATTTGACAATTGATGTGAATCTCAGATAATGCCTATAGCATTCTAAGTGAGGGTCAAGCGAGGGGATACTCCTGGATGGACATAAAGATTTATCGATGCTGGTTTAGACGTGCTAGATTAGAACGTACAGATTAGAACGTATCAGATTTGGATATGATAAATAAATGTGTACCTAGAAAACAATGACTGCGACCGAAGTATCGGTTTATTGGAGATTTAGACGTACTTTAGACCCCCTCCCGAAATCATTGCCTGCTTTTCTAGCAGCATTTCTCAGAGAAACCATAAAGTGGATTACATGGAGTTATGCGCATTTCAGTTCATTTCTAAGAGTTTCGTTTTCTCTCAAAGATTAGAAATAAAGGAGATGTGCGGAAACAATAATTTTGAAGTGCAGACACCTTTGATGCAAAACTACATCTATATCCACATTTTTCCTGAAAATTTCAATAAGACTGAATGCGAAGACAATAATTTTTTTAGAATGAAGTTCTCTTCATAAGAGACAGCGAACAAAGTAAAAAAAGGTAAAGTACTCACATATAAATGATCTTGCAACATGATGATTCATATACGTAAAGTATGCTCTTTATACCTTGTCCCACTTTTCGTGTTTTATTAGCTCTCAACAGATGAAACACTTTAATCACAGAAGTGATTGAGTAGACATTAAACTTTAAGATTATTCTAAAGCTCAAAACTCTCTAGAGATATCAGTTTCGATCCTACCTTTTGCTTATCTGATAATATATAAAGATCATGGAAGTAGCCTGCAAAATGAAAAATCGATTTAAGTCATAGGTATAAGTATTGATATTGCAATCAGTCTTTGTCTTAACTACAGCAATAACTATTCGAATGTGGAACGTTATTCGTGCACTAACAATTTGTGGACTCTTAATTTTAACAGAAGAGCAGCTTGCTTCGACACCAGCACAAACTCTTACATGTCCCGGTACGTTAAAGCCTTGTGGAAACAAGTACTGCTATGATCCAACTACACACATTTGCTCGGACGCTGGTACAAATGTGACATGCGTTGCTACATGTGGAGAGGAGTGTTATAATGACAAAACGCACATCTGTATTAATAACAAGATATGTACCATTGGTACACATCTGTGTGAAATTAGATATGATGCTTATTTTGGCAAACCTATTGAACCACCACAGTTACAATGCTACAATTCCCTGAATCAAAGGTGTTTAAATCATACAATTTGTCATGATAAAGATCGTATATGCAATGGGCAATGCATACTGTATGGAACATCGAACTCATGGCTTCAATCAGGGTATGAAGGTGAATATAAAGTTTGTGCGGCTGACAATGTAACACTATGTACGGTTCCACAAAAATATACTTTTTATAAACCGAACCAAATGCAAGCATGCAATGGTACATGTTTTGATAATGAACTCGGACTTCAACATTGTGTTAATGGTTCTTTGCAGTGTATTACAACTTGCAACAATCGTTGCTACAATGCAACGACTCATGCTTGTCTCAATGGCACTCTATGTAATCGAGACGAAGAGGTGTGCTTAATTGATTATGACTTATATAACAGACCGATTATTCCACCAACCATTACATGTTACAAACCATCATCTGCAAAGTGTTTAAATCATAAACTTTGCTCAAGAGATCGTATTTGCAACGGACAATGTATTGTTTCGCCTAACTCAGACTATCTAGTATGCGCTAATGATAGGCGAACACTGTGCAATATTACATCCTATTATGGTAGTATGCGACCATACCAAATGCATTTGTGCAACGATCGCTGTTACGATACGACGATTCGCCAATGTGTCAATGGAGTTATTTCATGCATCGATGGCACATGTGGTAATGTATGTTACAACTCCGAGTACCAAATATGTATCAATGGTAGCGTTTGCTCGATAGGTCATGCTATATGTGAAATAAAATATGACAGTTATTCATCCCAGCTTATTTCACCATCACGATTAGAATGTTACAATCTAAAGTCGCAAGTCTGTTTAAATCATACAATTTGTAACAACGATCGTGTCTGTGGTGAAAGTTGTATAACTGGATATGATAATATCTACAAAGTATGTGCTAATGGTACAATATGCAGAATGAATAATGGTTATACTAATTATAAGCCAAACCAAATTCAGTTGTGCAATGGCACATGCTTTGATGCTGGAAATCCACTAGTTAAGCATTGTGTTAACGGTAGTGTGGATTGCATCTTAAAATGTTCTAATTCTTGCTATTATTCAGCTACACATGTTTGTATCAATGAGACTCTTTGCAATATTAACGAAAAGCTTTGCCACATAAACAACCGGCCTAGGTGCTATAATCCTTCACATTATAACTGTTTAAACAACACACTATGTCAAACTGGATATCACATTTGCTATCCTGGTGGTTGTTACCAACCAGCAAGTCAAAAGTGTTTAGATGGCAAAATTTGTGACAATGATCGTATTTGTGGTGGAAAATGTATAATTGATACCTATCAGGTGTGTGCAAGTGACCAAAAAACAATATGCAATGTTACAAAACCATATTATAGTTATTATCTTAATCAAATACAGATGTGTTTGGGAGTTTGCTACGATTCAGCGGTCCAACAATGCACTGGTGATCCTAGTATTATTTGCATTGATGATCCTGGAAACATATTATGTCTGGCTCTAAACATAAATTCGTCAACGACGAGTACAAATTCAATGTCACTCTCAACAACAAATGGAAGTTCTTTTGCAACGTCCACAGTTTTTTCCACGGCTTTGATTGGTACCAATACAACCAACTCTTCTATTTCAACGAATGATTCCACATTAAGAACTAGTACTGTGATATCAATAAACTCGACCGCGCTTGCTACTACTACTAGTTCTTCGTCAATCTTATCAAGTTTCACATCATTATGGACAACCTTGAAGAGTACTTTATCAGAATCGATACTTTCTACCACTACATCGTCAACCTCAACCAGCGTCATGTCCTCAACCTCAGCCAGCGTCATGTCCTCAACTTCATCCAGTACCACATCATCAATTTCAACTAGTACCTCATCATCAACTTCAACCAGCACTGCATCGCCAACCTTGACCAGCACCATACCATCGACCTCAATTAGCACCACATCAACTTCAACAATGTCACAGCCACTAACTAGTTCAGTTCCATCATTGTCAGACAGTTGCTGTGCAGTACAACAATGCACTAAAGATGCTGACTGTTGTATTCGTGGTACTGAGTGTCAATGCTACCGTCACAATCAAACTCATGAATATGGTGCATGTCTAAATCCTTCTATAAAACCAATTTGTTCGGATGGATGCCCACAAGCTGGATGCTTCTCCGATGTAGACTGCTGTAAATGTCAATGTGGAACTATAACAGTGATCAATGTTGACGGGCAAATAATTACGAGAAAACAGTGTGTGTCACGTCAATAGGTTGCCTATTGATTTCTATGACTCAAGCTACATGCTAAAATTTTTAACAGAAGAATCAGAACTTGAATCAATAATATCATCTTACTCGATTTTGCTAGTAACTAATCATGATGAATCAATTTTGCTCCCTAATACAAAGCTATTGATAACAGCGGTTTTCTAAAATAAATTAAGTTTAAAGATCCATAAATTAATCTTGTGTTTCATCTATCTCATAGTTCTCGTGATGGTGAGCGTGAGGATGAATTTGAATACATACATGTCAGTCCACGGCAACATTGTGTCTCTCTTGGATGGACTTTATCAGATAGTTATATCTATATCAGAGTGTATATTATACCCAAAAGTTTTCGACTACTAGAAGGGTGTGTGGGTGTGCAAATGTTACATGATGGATCCAGAAGTGTACTAACACTCACAGTGTGGGATGCAACGGCGACGGTGTATCGCCAGTAACCGGTCGTACTAAACCTGCTCTGATTGGAACTAGTTGCTAATGGCAACAGTTACTTTCGGTCGCCTATGGTTTTGGCAGAACCTTAGCTACCACAAATGTAATTATTCAAATTCAAAATTTCAAGTTGAGGAGATATTAATGGCGTTGGCCAATTTTCTTATTTTTAGATGAGGGTGTGTGTGTGGGTGGGTTTTGGATTGTGAGAGTAGATCTTACATTTAAATCGACACCCACACCCATTCATAAGTTTTGCTTTTTTTTATACCTTCAATAGCCTTTGAGCAATTTATCTAGATAAAACATTTGCTAAAATCAGTATTAAAAGAAAATAAAAACTGACTTTGGATTCAAATTTTCCCTTCCGGAGTATCTTTGATGAAGTTTTCCAGAAGATGGTTAATAATTAGAGTGTGGGTGTGGGTGTCGATTGAAATGTAAGATCTACTCCCATAATCCAACACCCACCTACATCCACACCCACACCCTCAAGAGGAGGACCTCGTGGATTTTTGGAAAGCTTTTGCTTTTTTTCTGAGTACTTCTCACAATAACCATTGGAGTCTAGTTGTGTGAAATAATTCAACTGGCAATATTTCTCGAATAGAGAGATCACGTAGCGGAAGCCAAACTACAACATATGCATTTCTCACTAGTGGCTTATCTCCAGAACTCATGGATTTTTCGTGAAATTCTAGGATTCTGAAACTGGGCCAAATCTCGCATCGTTAAAGTCTATGTGGCAAGTACAATATATTTTATTCTTTGAACAAACTTATTCTTTTCTCTGAAACAAAACGAAAGCTATTAGACTTTGCCAGAGACGCGCTTAATGTTTTGTTCGACTTTGACAACTAGATGATGTCGGCCAGACAATGCGTGACGGTATATGGTGGCTGCCTTTTGAAAATATATTAATGCTTCTTTGAACTCACGCTTCTTCTCATGAACGAGACCCATGTTTTCATACGTCGATGCAATGTCGATATGTTGAGAAGGAAGTGATTTTATTCTGATTGCAAGAGCTTGATCGTAATGTTTCAGTGCCAGATCATTATGACCGAGAGAGTCATGAACGGCGCCGATGTTGTGAAAGGATGTACCCAAGTCAGGATGATTGGAAGGTAGACGCTTTTGTTTTATACAGAGCGATTTTTTATAAGCCACAAGCGCCTCCAAATACTTGTTCTGTTCTTGGTAGATGATGCCAATGTTATTGTAATACGTGGCTATATGTGGGTGGTCCTCATAATGTCCTTCGTCAAAGAGCGACAGGGCTTTGTTGAATGATGCAAGCGCTCGATTGTGATCACCTTTTTTTCCATAAGCCGTACCTATGCAGTTGTGTGTATTACCGATGCCCACATAATCGGATGGGCGAATTCTCATTTTACTCTCGAGTGATTTTTGATACCATTGAATACTTGTATCATAGTCACCTTTGCGATCAGCCACGAGACCGATATTGTGATACAAATCGGCAAGACAATGATGATCCGAAGGAAGTTCCTTCAGCAAACGATGGAAGTACTTTTCGGCTAGATCAAATTTACCCATTCGTCTCAACAGAATAGCAAATGAGAAAAGATCCGTTTCTCCATCCCCTCCACGGTGTTGTTTCTTCATGTGGACCAAGAGTTGCTTCATGTCATGTTGGTCGTCACCGCACAATTCCATTCGAACGATCCACATTCTCATATCGCATTGACGAATATCAATGAGACGAAAGATGGAACCAATCATGAAGAGCACTTCTGACTCCTCTTCGAATACACTGAGCGGAGTAATATTGGCAAATGGCTTGTTGGTAACCACGCGAGGATCGGCATCGATCTCGAACAGAACTGACAGCAAGCCGTCAGAAAAATTACAGTCCTCTAGAAACATTAAAGCTTCCTGCTGGTCAGAACTGGTCGACAGGAACGAGTTGAATGAAATAAACTGTTGGATAGATTTCTTTAGACATTCGAGCTCATTGACTGACATCCGTTGGCCCCGATACACTCGAATCGGGCGATGATACTGATGCTTCATCAGCTGCCGATGGATGTCACAAATCAATGAACGCAACAGAAACATTCCCTCGATGTTTTGTACACGCAGAACCTTGTTCAACGTCCTGTACAAGAATGATTCTTTAGTATACCAGAACAAGGCTCTTTCGGGTGAATATTCACGTTTAAATTCAAACAGAATAGAAAGTTCAATGTTGTCGACATCATACTCATTCATACAGAGAAGGACGACTTGATGTCTGTCTAGCTCGCTGGATTTCATTCGTAGAAAAACATCAATGAGGAGCTGCTGATGAATAAAATGACCATTCAGTTTCGTGGTCGATTGACCGGGATCGTCGCTCACAGTAAAGATATTCATTGACAGTTTTTCCTCTATTTTCATCTGACGCCTCCGATCGGATTTGACTTGATAAATAAGATCGTCCAGTTGATCGTTGAAGATCTTTACCTGTAAAGACAGTGCGATTGAGCTATTGTCCTGCTTGATCATCAGAATCACGGCGTGATCACGATCGTAATCAAAAATGTCTCCTGTCATTGACAACATTTTTATTCAAGGGAAAAAAATAGGGCTATGGGCAAAATTTTATTCAAGTTTTATTCTATATATTTCAAAAATGTTCAATTTTTCTTGTATTTGGATAGACGGCAGTGTTTCTATTAACTCTATGCATCTTTCTGCATTTTCCAGGCTGTTTCTGAAAATTTCGGAGTTTTTTCGAAAACCTTCGTTTTCGAGAGGTTTCACAAGTTTTCCAGATATCGCCGAATTTTCTTTAGTTTTCATGGAATCTATTATATTCTCGTGACGTTCACTAACTTTTCAGCCTGTTCATCGGCCTTTATGGTTTTTCTAGTCTTCTTTACAGTTGGAAGCCCAAAAGAACCCAAAAATCGGGTTTCCCCCTCTAGTGTTATTAGAAAAATGTGAAATTTCATATCAGCAACAAGAACTAAATTTTAGAACACTCTGCTGGCTCTTTTACACGCATCCTCACACTACGTAACATAGAACACGCCACATCACACACCCTTTTTCAACTGGGATCGTCGCCCAAATCTTCTTACCCACATCGTGATCGAAACAAATGATCACGTAGAGTTGTAGATTAAATAAAAGAGGACTACCTTTGTGAATTTGTTTGTCCACTTTTCAGTTTTCATTTTGTCCCTATAGTGGACATATATCAATGATACTTGTTGGAGTTGATGGATGCTAGGCACTACTTCTCGACCCCATTGATCGTTTACAATGAGCGCAAGTCGATTATGTTTGGGTGCCTCTTGAATGTACTGCAGACACTCATCTCGATCTTCGAATGTTTTGAGATAATTGATGGTAACACGTAACTGTTGTTGTATATTTAGATTCTTCTCACTGTTAACCTCAGGATCGAGCCATATGAGAGAGAATGTGTCGAGATTGTCATCATTGCATTTGTCCATGACCGACTGACGCTTAAATTGTGTCGCATTTAAAATGGCATTGTTGCGATCTTATGCTGATTGTTCGTTGCGATCGAACAAAAAACAAACAGTTTCACACTTCACTTTCGGTCTTCGCTTCCATTAGTATGCAGCCATTTCTGTTATTGTTATTGTTTCATTTCTCATGATCCTCGGGAGATCAAAATCAAGACACGGATTCATTTGAATCAACTCATCAGCTTAAGCCATTCTTAGAGGCGACTGAATCGAAGCAGGGTGTGGGTGTGGGTGTGAATGAGTTTCTCTGCTCTCTAAAAAAAAGGTATTCTCGGAAACTCAAAATAGGTTTCCGATAGTAACAAAAGGGTGCGGGGTGTGAGTGTTCGAGTGTGGGTATGGGTGTTTGGATGGGTGCACTTTGATTTCTGTTGTCATATCCACCTACACCCATCCCCACACCCACACCCATAGGGAGTGAATAAATGAAAGTTAAAAGGGTAATTAGTAAAAATAGAATAATTCGAAACACAGGAAATATGTCTTCAAAAATTGTCATTGTTTGCAATTGATTAGCAGATTATGTCAAAATAATGCTTTTTTAATTTAAATCTAATGAGCTTGAAATATTTTTTGCAATCTGTGTAAATGAATAAAATATAACTGATATATGTAAATATAAGATTAAAGATGAAGTGAAATTCGGCGAATAATAAATTACACTTTTTATTATAATGTTTCTCTCCTTATTTGTCTATAAAACAAATTACTGAAATTTTTTTATTCACAAGTAAAGAATTTTCTTGTAAAATAATGTAGTCAAAACGATGCGGTCAGGAGGAGATCTAAGGTTTTATATAACTACCATATTTGACCAAGATGTAGTTGATTCTTTGCTGTCTTTCAAATCTCTGCTTCTTTCTGAAGATTTTCCAAATGATATGTGCCATCTTCATCGAGTAAACAGTAAGATATTTGGTAGTTCGAATAATATAGAATATTACTTCGGCTCATGTATTATGAAAAAAAACTGACATTTTCACAGCAAACCACTAGAAGAAAAACTGTCTAATGATGAAAAAAGTGTAAATGCAGAATATATACTCCATCCATTCGTAAAAACTTAGATTTCAATTGTTTTTCACCAAACGAAGACAATATTTCTTTGTTTTACTAAAGAGCTATCGAAAACATTATCTTTAGTACAATGACTTTACCCATTTATCAGCAACTGCAAATAAAATAAGCTATGAGTGACGTCTCTGTTCTATGCAGCAAGTGCAATATTCATAGGCAAATGCTGTTCTGTCAGTAAATATATATTTGTCAGAATTTTCACACTATGGAGGCATTTATTGGTATTCGTTATTGTAGTTCATGAATCAACAGGAGAAAAATAATCAAATAATATAAAGATATTTTCGGCTTCTATTACTTCATTAAAAAATTGAGTTTCTTGTTTTCTCGGATAATTATTACACCCTCCATACATCAATGAAAATTTAAGTTAGTGCTCATTATAAATGCGTGCGTCTCACTCAAAATATAGCATTACCTATGATTAGTAGAATAATGCTCTCTTTTCCTTTGCTTTCTCTTAACGACTATTTCGTTGCAAATACAAGCAATGATGAGGTCTTCAGTGAAATAAATCTACTTTTAGATGTGTAAACAAAACTCACTTGAAATTCAGTACAATTCGAATTTCGCATAGCTTTAAAAGCTATGCAAAAATTATGCTCGATTTGTATCGGCACATTTATCATCAAATTCAACCAGAAGTTATATTTTTATTCGAAAATCTAATCTCAATCATCTTTTGGAGTTAACCTTATGTAGTTACTACGAAATGTAACTAATTCGATTGAACAAATATCGGCTTGTATCATCTGAATTGATATTATAGTCTTTGTACAGATATATCCTATGAACACATTGTTTTAATATTACTTAATGTATTTTTTTTAGAGAAAACAGAAAGTTATACTCAATGGTAACTGCCTACAGTGCGCCATTCAAGTTGAATTGCGCAGCATTTCTCTATGTCGATGACTACCGTGCATATTCGATAGTAGAGTCCTGCAGGTTAAGACTTTTTTGTACCCTTACCCTACCCTACCACAGAGAGTTTTCATTGTACACCCTATCATATCCTTATAGCTTCAGGTCCAAGTAAAAGTCAGCATGAACTTTTTCTTCGCTTTGTTTCAATATATTTTATTGATTTTCAACGAGAATCAAATACAAAAGCAATAAATATTTCGAAAGTTTCTTAATAATAAAATGTCATTTACAACATCACCACTTAAATTTTGCCTTCTCTCTTCCAAAATTCATCCGTTTACACTAAAAATACGTTCATCTCGAGATGATTTCGAAGACATTTTTTATTACATTTACATGCAAATTTACTCGACAAATAATCAAAAGTGACTGAGCTCGTCAGCGTATGTAAAAAATAGTACTAAAAAATAGGTCATTGTTTTCCGTTTGCTGCTATTCTATCTAATGAATTTAGATTATGATATCACTCCTTACACTGTTTTTGATCAACACGATGTCAGAAATATATATTAAGTTCTACTCGATAAAATTTTTATTTGCGTGAACTACACCCTACTTATACCCTATATATTTTTTTTGTAACCCTGCCCTGTCCTGTAGGACTCTATTCGATGGTAAATCTGGCTGCTTAAAATATCTAACTATTCAACAATGTTTTTTTTTATTCTACATAAGAAATATGTCGTTTAAAGAAATTAAAAATTCCACAGCCGATCAGCGAAGTTCTTGCCATTGTTCATTGGATGTATTCAAAATATATTAAATAATATATTGATTTTATTTATTATTGAAAAATATAATTATTTTAATATCACCAGAAAAACACATGCATTAAAAACGATAATCTACATAAATATGTATACGTTTAATTATTGATAAAGATTTTTCATTAATCTATTTTTTTGTAATTCATGTGTAGCTCGTTCTCGACGAGCTATGGGCGTTTCTCCAATTTTTATTGAATGTTGTTGTTGAGAATCAGTTTTTAAATTCGTTGGATTATACCATAAGCAATTTCCATCATTAGCATCTATGTATACGAAGAAGGATGATTTAAATCAAAAAGTGAGAATATTTATTTTCACCTGAGAACAAAGTTGTATTATTTCGTGACATAATCGGTGGTAAACTTATTCGTTGTTCATTTGCACGATGAGAACCAAGTGGCCTATAATATTTATTACAGTTCATATAGTTGAACGACAACGAAAATACAATAGTGAAAGCAAGCGTGTGAACAATAGTTAAAAGAAAAGAAGACAACCAATGATTAACTATACCTCTGTGCGGCAATGCGTGGTGGTGAAAGGTTCAAACGTCGAACAGGTAACTCACTGTTTAATTATATTGATTCTGTCAGTCTATTGTTCTAACTGATAGACGCAAAAAAGGCAAGACACTTACGGTCGAATTAATAAATTTTTTGCAGCTCCTGACGGTGAAGTAGTAGATTCTCGTTGTTGATTTTCATTATAAAATAACATATCGACTGGTGTTGTTGTGGCTTTGCTCATTCTATTTTCACTGATATTTGTTGATGTTAAACACTCACGAATGAGAGTTTTCGAAGATACATTTAATTGTTCAGTATTGAGAATTTCCACTAAGACAGATCGTAACTTGGATATCTTAATAAATGACAATAGCTATCAGTTTAGTATCTGTAGAAATGAAAACATTTATTTGAACTCGAGATAAAGAATCACACAGATTTATTTGACGAAAGTTTAAAAACGTCTCTATTAACTACGGATGATAGAATCGTAAAAATTAATTAGATATTAAGAGAAAAATCAGAGACTTATTCCAACTAATTTCAATCCAGGTGTTAAGGGCAAGCTAAGAACAAAATCTAGATTCGTTAATCTTCACGGAACATTACAATCGAAACCGCATTGTTTTACTGAATTTTCGAGTTTATTGTGTATTAATACACCTAAAAATAGAAAGAAAGAACAGTGACATCAAATTTAATTTCATACATAGATCTAACGATCAATAAAATATCTTGAGCACCTTAGTCGAAAATTAAGTATTTTTCTTTGTTTTGTCGAGATGGGGAGTCATCCAGTTCTCTTATTTTATGTGTCATAAAAATAGAAGATAATTCTACTTTGGAAAATTAATATCTCAATAGAAGAGCATCACTATTTTGATCTTATTGTACGTTGACCTTTTCCAATCTATAAGAAAAATTAAGTGTGTTTCAATTAAAATTTTCTCATACTTCATGCATAAATTGTTGTTCTTTTTCATATGACATGTTAGACGGATTTTGATATTCATTTGTCGTCATTTGTACTGTTATTTGAGTGTCATCTTTATTTATGATGTGTATGTCTGATTCTTCAGATTTGGATGATGATTGTTTACTTAATTCATCGATTGTATATATTAAATATTTATTGTTTTGTTCACTTTCCAACAATTGTTTTTCAAGTCTATCGATGCGTTGTTTAAGAAAAATTTGATTGTCTAAAGAATAGCGAAATAAATAGAATTACATATCTATTTTATTTGATACACTGGATAATTTTACTAGCAGAAGAAGATATTTGACCCGAATTTCTAAGTTTTTGATCACGTGAAGGCAATGAATTAGTTTTGATTAATTGATAATGTAGATCTAGATGTAAAGGTTTCTTTTTTTTTAATGAGCACGTTATTTTATTAATTAGATTTATTAACACCTCTGTTTTCTTGTTGAAGTCGAGTGATTTCATCATGTAAATCAACAAGTACTATGCCTTGTTGCTCTTGAATATAACGAAGGTTTCTTTCGAGAAAGTCAATTCGTGAAATAGGCTCCAAAGTAGATTCTGATAATGATGGATTATATTTATTGACACTACGCGATGAAATAGGTACATGATGTGCCATGGTTTTTGACACATCATCACTAACATGGCGAGATAATTGACGAGATGATTGATGTTCATCAATAAGTACATTTTGTGTCATAATATGATTGTCAAGCTAATAAAAATAAAAATTAAATAATTTGAAGTCTAAAATAAACAATTAAAAGAAAGTGTAAAAGAACCATAAATTATTCATAATGTCATGGAAATGAAGGGAAACTTTAAATAGATGGAGATGTCGCTAAAATATTCAGGTAAATTGAAATCAATAAGGCAAGCATTTTCTTTTCTCTATAAATAATTGATGAAGATGCAATACAAAAATAAAAACAGTGAATCCATATGAGTATTTCTCCAATCAATACATTTTATCGTTTTTATTTCTTGAGTATGTAAACATATACATAGACGAATGTGGTTGAGTGTTATTATGATTAAGGACTGTATTATGAGCAAATATTAAATGATTATAGCTTGAATAATATTTGTATTTGAAGCGTACAGTATAAGTGCTGTTGTACATTTTGTGGAAATTTGAAAATCATGAAAAAAAAATCTATTATAGGATTTGTTTATACGATGGACTTGTACTTCGCACATTATTTTATATTTTTGCAAGTGATATAAATCTTAGGTTTTTCTCCTGCTGCTATAAATTAAGATAAATAAAAATCGATCAAAAATCGAATGTTTTATCTTCTGAGAGAAAACTTACTTTTATCATGAAAATCATCTCAGTTTTGATCATTTCTTAATGTTTGCATCATGCTTTTTTTTATTTAGAATCTTATAATTTAATAATTAGCTATTAAATATCTGCTTCTAGGATAACTTATACGTATATAAATAACTGCAACATGATAGGTCCTGTTGTTGATTTGCAAACCCTTGAGTAAAAGCAATCAAAATGAACGTTTCCTTCAAATGACGTCCATTAACCGGTATGAAATGGCTCAATGCCGATGCAAATTGATTTCAATCGAGTGTCATTCAAATACAATTAGTAAGGTAGAATTAGCATCAAACTTTTTTAATGTTTCTTTTTTTTAAATGCTTTTGAACACTAAGCTCGAGACGTATCAATATGTATCAAATCTAAACATCTAGAACAAATAAGACGCATTAATATCTATTTTATTCAAGCGCCCAAAAACAAGACGCTTCATGTGTCTAGCTCCTGTCTAAATTAGACTTTAAACAGATGAACCGTCTTGCAAGTGTTATGACATCACTAAATATTTTTCACTTAACTTGCGTAAATATTATACAAGTTAACTTTTTTTTTCGATTTGGGTATATATATTTATGGATGATGCAGATGTCGTTAGTCTGTACGGTGAAAGAGAGCTATTGCATCTAACTTCCTACGATTGGTTTTATTAGAAATAGAAATAAAATAAATAACATACAAATTATATCTACCTAGAAGTTTGTTTGTCTATCACCTGATGTTACTAAACAAAAATATTTATTTTACTGGAATATATTTTCAAAGGAACGACAATACGAAAAAAATTCCTAATAGAATTATCTTAGTATTTAATCAATGAAGAAAAAGTTACAGGAATAAAATTAAAAAGTTAACGTTATAGATCTATTGAATAAAAGCATGCGATATTTTTATTGTTAACGTTTGAATGAATATGGTCTTTCAAATTATAGATTGATTTGAATATTGCATAGCTTTTTTCAAGGCTTTATAATAATACATCAATAAAAGTTTAAATTGAAGATTTTTTTTCAAAGAAAAAGACTGGTTTATGTATTTTATCAATTCGAATAATTATTATCAAAACATCTGTTGCTTCAATGATAACAATATTTGATTCTTAGTTAAGAGAAAAAAACCTTAACCATCATCATTTTAAATTATCATGGTGACGATGTTGTTCGTCAAGGCTGTGAGACGAGAAAGATAACGACTATTGACGATAAAAGACAATGCAACTTAAGAAAAAAACGAGCAAAAAATAATTCAGAATCGTTTCAGTATATCTGCCTTTTTTGTTTCATTTTTAGAATAAAACATGCATCAACTATCTGTTTTAATTACGACATGTAAGACTTTATAATCGGTTATGAATCTCAATAGAATAAGTTTACAATATTTATCTAGTGTTGATTGTGAGTGCGTCAATAAATGCAGGACCCGTCTTACGTGATGGTCTTCCATCAAGATATCACGTTAGCGGTGTGATTCAATTGCCTTATGCAGAAATCAATGAACCATTTGAATCATGGATTGATGTTGAAGCTGGATTCTCACGTATTGATTACTATGGTGGTTCGTTTGCTTTTCTTATTATTGTATCATATGAGATAGAAATTGAATTGTAGGTGCTGCAAAAACTGTTCAACGAAAAGGACGCGGTCAAGATTATGGAGCTAATTATAAAATTGTACCTATGTCTGGTAAATCATTGTTAATAAATGATGACTTTTACATTTGAGCTACTTTTTCTTTCTGCTTAGATGAACAAGTTTTAAATAAAATCAGTTGTTTTCAATCTAATGGTTCACAGGCAGATGTAGTTGATGTACAACACACACTGCCCGATGTATCTACATTTCAAGTAATTAAATTATGATTACATTTCTTGTTTTTTATTATATTCGAATGTTTTGTCCTTGTAGGATATGGGTGCAGCTGAATGGCGTGGAATAAAATGTGAAATGTATCAAACTATTGATCAAGTAGGCGATAAAAAATCAACGTATACTTATTATATCGATGTTGCTTCCAAACATCCAGTTCACTATGAAATGTTTGGTTATGATTCGTTGATTGGTTCTCATTTTGATAAATATACAATTGATTATTATAATTATGATGAAGAACCAATTGATCCAACTGTATTTCATGTTACCGACGGTAATTGAGTAAACCAAAAAACAGAAATGAACTTGAATCTGATTAATTATCAGCTTTTCATAGATCATTATTTCGGTACACAAATAAGTTATGTAGAAAACGTTTTTGATCATTAGTAGACATGAGTGGTACCATATTGTTCATTATCACAGCTAACCAATGAAAATCGATTTAGGACATGTTAAATTCCCGAAGGAAGTTTGAAATTTTATTCTTCGAGTTTTGAGTAGATACCTAAAGATAGATTGAAAAATTTATAAAACTATCATACAGCAATTGCAAACACTAAGGCTTACGAACTGAGACTCATGTAATATCCTAGTCAGTGATCTTCATAGCCTGATCGTAGCACGATTTGCTAGCCAAATCAGCTGTTTCGGAACGTCTTCAACAAAAGTGAATGTATTACCGTATGAACGATCTATATTATGTGTTTTTTGTTTTGATTTATAAATCTGCTCCATCTCAATAGATCGATAGAAGAAAATTAGAATTCAATTGAATAGAATAATTCCCTATATTTTTCGAATACAAAATCATATAATATGATTTTTTATTTCTAATGAAATTACTATTGCATTCTATTATGAATTGTTTTTGTTAGGCATGACATGCACCGGATTTCCTGGTCCAGGCCTTGAACACACAACGCCACGTGTTTTATTTAATCCTATGAGTGAATATATCAATCGTCATAGTGCAGATTATATCGAATCATCATTTGAACAATTCAAAAAGAATCACGAACATAAATATGACAGTGAACTTGAACATCGTCAGCGTATGAAAATCTTTCGACAAAATGTTCGCTATATAAATACACGTAATCGTGCAGCATTACCATATAAAATGAAATTAAATAAGTTTGCTGATCGAACTGTAAGTTCTACGTGCAAAATAATACACAGCCAATGTTTTTTTTTTGTATTTATTAAATTAGGATGATGAATTACGCGTTCTTCGTGGTCGTCGTTATACAAAAGGTTATAATGGTGGACTTCCATTTCCAAAAAAAGAATTCATGAGCAGTAATCGAGCTATTCCTGACTCAATTGACTGGCGTATCATGGGAGCTGTAACACCAGTTAAAGATCAAGGTATTTGCGGTTCATGCTGGTCATTTGGCACCACTGGTACTATTGAAGGTGCTTATTTTGTTAAAGTAATTTGATTGATGTAATGTATACTACTAGATATTAATATTTGCTTTTCTTTTGTTTTTCAAATTAGCATGGAACATCTATTCGTTTATCTGAACAAGGTAGATATATAATTACTTTAAAGATTAATGAAGTCATTGTTTTATTTTATTTCGAATAATTAGATTTAATTGATTGTTCATGGGGATTTGGTAATAATGGCTGTGATGGTGGAGAAGATTTCCGTGCTTATCAATATATAATGAAACATGGTGGTGTTGCTTTAGAAGATGCTTATGGTCAATACTTACAGGAAGATAGTTTTTGTCATCATGATAATACAACATTAGGTGCTAAAATTCTTGGTTATGTTAATATAACTGAAGGTGACGAAGAAGCTTTAAGAATGGCTATCGCAACGAAAGGGCCAGTATCTGTTGGTATGGATTTCATTCAAAAGCCTCTTTTTTTGTTTCAGGTGTTATTGATAAATTTATTTGTTTTTTGTTTAGCTATTGATGCTGCTCATAAAGGTTTTCTGTTCTATGCTAGTGGAGGTAAGAAAGGATTTATATGAATATTCTGAATTTCATTTTTACTATATTTTTTGATCTAGTCTTCTATGATCCAGATTGTGGTAGGCATTTTTTTGTGCAATGTCTTAACCGAGAGAGTTTTATTCGAATAATTTTGTTTTCTAGGAAGTTCACCTGATGCTTTAGATCATGCAGTACTTGCTGTTGGCTATGGTAATTTGAACGGTGAAGATTACTGGCTCGTAAAAAATTCTTGGTCAACATATTGGGGTAATGATGGTTACGTACTTATGTCACGTAGAAACAATAACTGTGGTGTCGCAACAGCAGCAACATACGTTATGGTTCAATAAGTAAAATTAGTTTTTTCTTTCGTCGATATTTCAGTCTTTCTAATAAATGACAATTCTTCTTTTTTTCTGATTATCCTTCGAGCTTATGAAATAAAATTTCTTTAAAATAAAAAAGAATCGAAGATATTACCGAGTTCTTTTTTTCTCTCAATTAAATATGATTAATGCCAAGAGAATTTCGATTCGTTTCGAGGTGAATAAATGTCAATGTACGTTGTCTTTTAAAATAAAAAAACGGACGACCGGGCACACTGACCGACTTTAGTAGTGTACTCACTGTTTGAGTACACAAAAATAAGGCAAAGTAGTCATTTGTCACTCTTTTTTTAGTAAAACTATTATTACATGATATTATTTTATGTCCTGAAAATTGGCGAACTCAGTAGAACATCTGGGAAATCCGTTATATATGACATTTCTTTTCTACATATAAATATGAAACTATATTTATATTAATATCAGAGGATCAAAACTAAAATTACAGAACTCAAATGTCTGAAAACCACACGGAAGGAAAATCTTTCTAGCTCACAATATCTAAGCCAATTCATTCCACTTGATATTAGTAATTATGTCGTTGTTGAAGTACTTCCTTTGCAATTAAATACGAACATTTCTCATTTAACAAGAATTATGTGCCACAAAAACATAAATTCCATAAAAAAAGGGGAAAACAATTTCTTCTAGTAGTCGTGTAGTATAATTAGATGATAGAAGCAGGTGTGATAAGTTTGAAGAGATTGACATTTGATATAATTATTGTATTCATTTCAACAGATGATTAATAGAATTCTATCTACTATTTTTAGGTTATTGTATCATACAGCATGATATTTGTTTAAGTAGTTTTCTAAGCTATGCTAATTTGCTTTTGTTATGACAACCTTCATATTGACAGAAGTCAACCACATTTGTCATCATTAGTTGCAAGACAATTAGCATCCTCTTTGACCGAGCGTATCAGCTGTTTTCTTTCGAATATTCTCAATGTTAGCATCTCTACTTAAGCGTTATATTATTTTTCTTAAGAATTTTCAGGTTTTCCTGACCTGTTGATGATTAATCAGTGTAAATAAACAAAAAAATAATAATTTGTTTCTATTGTAAAAAGCTGTTAGCGCAATCTCTTTGGGATTAAAATATGAAACACGATGTAAGTGTTAATTCTGACCAGAAAAACGAATTATTCTATATATTTCTGAACTTTTTCTTTCATTATACTTTAATGCATCACCTACAAGTGAAAAATGCAAGTAGGTCATAAATTTGCTGATATTGTAACATTATGTGTTCCTTGATCGTACGAAGACGGCCAATACTAGCGTTAGGGAAGTTAGCTCAAGATTCGAGTTTTTCCAGCCCCGATTCGCGTATATGATTGTGTTGATTTTTATTTTCGTTGTGTTGGATGCAGAATTTTGCGCTGAATCGAATGGTGTAATTTTTGGAGAGGGGTATCAATTAAAACCTGAGACTTTAGCCGAAAATACTACTTTTTTTTGAAAATATTGTGAAAGTAATTTCAGTCCGGATTCGCTGCTTTAGCTGTGTTGGATCTGAAAATGGTTGTGTTGAGTGCGGAATGCAATTCTACATCGAATGATGCTAAATTTTTATGGGGTCATCGGCCAAAACATTTCTGGTCTCACCCAAGTCATCGCTCCGTGCCTCTATCCTACCAACACCCAAGTCGAAGTAATTTGGTCGATGACCCCATAAAAATTNACCACTTCAACACTCCTTTCACGTCGTGTTTCACAAAACTAGTAGTCGTTGGAGTTATTACAGCACATTCGTATTGTAAAGCTAACAATGAATTATTTCTTAAGCGAACAGCATGCTATATATATATACTGTGAATAACAACCATAAACAAAAGGATAATGAATTTTCAATAGTATGCAAAACATTCTTTTCTATTTATAAATATGTTAAAAATATGGCAAATAAAATCAATCATTCATATGGTGACAGTTTTATTATTTAGATGAATATCAAATTAGATCTATTAAGCGTTTGTCAATCATTTTTTCGTAGCTTTATTTTTTGCAACAAATATTATGAATGAGTACATAAGCTAAAATTGCAATAGTGCATATGCTGATTGACATCTACTCATTCATTTGCGTTTATATGTGTGTATGTGTATGAATATTAGACAAAATTTTCTTTGGCTCATAAAAATAACCATCATATCTCACAAGAAGCTTATTCGCGTGTCATGACATTGCCTGAGGCGGCTAGTTGTTATTTGACAAGAAAATTACGTTGTTGCTATATCATTCATTAGATTTATAAAACATTGAATTTGAAAATAAACTATTGCATGATTTCTGGTAGAAAAAGTGTATATTGCATGTTCATAAAGAATGAAAAGGACAATGAGAAAAAAATTTCCATCATAAACGTTGTACTAAAAAGTGCGTATATTATATTTTTATGCGTTCAATCGTTCTATGTGGTCTTAGATTTGGCATAGGTACTTCTTGTTGCTGTGGAACTGCTTGATAGACATGATCTTTCCCATTTTGTGTATTTGAATGACGACGACTATTGGATTTATAACATCGCCGTAGAACTATTTTATGTAAATTTCTTATATAACGCTTAGCAATACGTTTCAATTCCATACGAAATTGTCTTCCACTTAAACAATATATATAGAAATTTAGTGAGCAATTAGCCAATATAATAACGCTTATACAATGTGCAAGTACTTTATCTGATGTTGTAAAATAGACTAATGATGTTAGACTTGATGATAGAAAAAATAGTAATGAATGTAGTATCAAAACAATATTCATCCATGACATTTTACCGAATGGTACATTTGCTATTGGCATCGGAGAGGTTTTAAATGAACAACGTGTCATCGAACCGAATCGTTGTTGACTTGGATCGTAGATATGTACTACAGCTGGCGGTAATTTTGATGTTACACCAGTTATCATTGACATGGATAATTGAATATTATGTTGATGTTCTTGTCGTTTGCGAACATGAATTGTTGTTCGAAAAATACAGATAATTATAGCAACATTAAATAGAGCAACGAGTATCGAAGGAATTAATTCAGAAAATAGAAATCGTACTGTATGATAATTAATGCCGAATGTTGAATCGTGAAAATAATTTTGCCAAATTAACGATGTATACTCACTGTTAAATGTACATTGTATGTGTGTATATGTTTCATTAAAACTATTTTAAAAAAAAATAATAAAATCATGCAAATATATATATATATATTCAATTTAGTTAATTACCGTGCTAAGTTTGGTGCAAAATAGATAACAGTTGGTCCTGTCACTATGGAAATCATAACTAATGAAATGCATATCATAGAAAAATATTTATATTTGTCAAATGTATGATATTTATCACGACGATTAAATAATAAATGTAAACGCGATGAAACATAAATAAATCTTTCAATAACCCAAAAAACTGTTATCCATGCTGCAAGCACACGAAACGATGATGATAAACGATAGATTTTACATGTTAACCAATATTCACTAACAATGTAATCGGACAGCCAACGGCGAGTCGTTGAATGAAGTAAAAATGAATAGCGTACAATACATATTAAGTTAATTGTAAATGATGTTAATGCTAATGTAGCATATGTTGGACAACAACGAAAACGACGCGATGAAAACACTACTAAGCCAAGAAGATTACCGATAAAGCCCAGTACAAATAATATAATACAAATCCAATCGATCACAACTGCGATAAGTACCATAGTGCAATCTATTTGCTAAGCAATAGTTAAAGATGTGAAATGATAGTCGAGAACAAAAATAAAAGAAGAACAACAGAGGGAAGCAAGAGAAAAAAATAAATGACATTTCTATTTTTGCGTTCTTTTAGCGTTTTCTGGCACGAATAAGAAAGATAATATACAGCTTATATGTGCTTGACTTCTTAGGAATACATTTCATGCTCTCTCACGCAATATAAAATATAATATTTCGATTATTTGACAACACGTTGATAATGCCGATGTAAACAATGCTTTAAATTGTTATGCATAGAAACTTCTACGTTGAAAGTTCTTAGGTTCCGAGATGATTAAAAAAAGTATATATATATATATATATATATATATATGAGTGCCTTTTAGATTCTTGTAGGTCTTGGTGAAGATGAGAATTGCTTCTGAAACTTGTCACTAGATGCATGAGTGTTTAAATTGATACGCAGACGGGTGACATAGATGAGTCGAATTAACGCAACATAAAACGGATCGTAAAGTATGCTTGCTCGCTTGTAAAGCCTTTTATCTGTTAATAGAAAGTTCAAAAGAATAGTCGAGGATAGAAACTTATGTTGCTAAAGACCTTCTTTTTGAATCGATAATATGACGTAGTTTACATATCGTTCACGGCTGTTTTCTATCGCTATAACTAATTTATAACGAAACACTTTTTTCCAAGTAAATCATTTTATGAAAATTAGACATTTCTGCGTGTAGAATCTACATCGCAGTGTCCGGATGAATCCCGAGGGGGACGTCCTTTGCAAATATTTTTTTCGCTGGAATCCTGATAAGCGCTGCGTGTAGATATAATAAACTTTCCATGAAATTAATCTTTGATCAAGAGACTGATAACTTCTCAGACTTCTGTTTTATCTGATGATTATAAAAAACGGTTTAGGCAAAATATACTTTATTTCATAGCGGATGAGCATTGAAGAAAAAAAATCTAATTTTTGAAGCACGCTCCAACTGTTTGAAAATGAGTAATAAAATAATTTCACGAAATTTTGCTTTACATTTACTTGTGACAGTCAAGAAAATATTCTCCATAACTGGATATCTATCTAAGAATCATTTATAAAAAAAATTGCTCGCAATCAGAAAGAATGCATTTCTCTGTTGTTTTCTTAAAAAATTATATTTTGATCATATCCGATTGAATTCATGTCAGCTATTCAAATGAAATCAACTCTAAATCTTATTTCTGGCACTCACTTAGTCGAATTTTTATTTTGTTTATTCACACAATGAACTCGATCAACTTTTTATTAACACGGTGTTTTTTGACTGTTGTATTCAAACTAATGAATAAAACGACTTAATTAGCTTTGTTGATCAATGCAAGGATCATATTTTTGGTTTACAGGATTTACTGTCCATTGATTGTTTTTCTTAGAAAATTGTTCTTTTTCTACAGAAAGTATAAATTTTGCTGCTGAGGATTTACTGTCCGTTGATTGCCTCGAAGAATAGAAATGAACAGAAAAATATTTATCACAATCAACTCTGTATATTTAGAAAAAAAAGAATCCTAGCAAATATATGAGGAAATAACAAAGAGAATAAGAAATTGATTAATAAATAAACCAAAAAAGATGAATGGACGTTCAACTTTTTGGTGGACGCTGAAAATATCTAAGTCCAGCAGCTTTTAAGAATGATGGAATATCGATAATCGAGGGAGCAGAATTGTCGTTTACCATGGGTAGATTCAGTAAATATAGCAGACATTTTTAGCAAGAGTATGATAAGAAAATTACGTTCTTTGAATTTATATATTTTTTTTTATAATTTTTTGTCGTATTAATGGCTATCTTACTCTTCAATTTGATGAGCATCCGCCATTTTAAATTGAAAATTTATTCAATAGTTTGCTCATTGGTGACTTTTTTGTTTTTCAACATTTATGTAATTTTTGTTCAGAAAAGGGATTGACTATCAAGACCATTACTCATTTATTAATTTATCTTCTTCGAACCAATTAATGGACAGTAAATCCTCGAACAAGAAAAACACTAATTAGGCAAAAAAAGTTATTCAATCAATGGACAGTAAATCGTGTACGCGCATATTTTTTTGTCAGCCGAGACCGTCTCTTTCATGAATTTAATTATATCTCATTTGTATCTTTCTGTTCCTTATTTCTAGGAATTACTATTTTTATTGAATATAGATAAATAAAATACTAGAATAAATAGAAATTGGTAAAACCGATTGAGTATCGATAAAAAAAATAAAGTGAGCTACTTCACTATTTAGATAAAAAAAGATTTGAAAATGCTCTAGATTAGATTGCGTCATTCGATAAGAAAATAAGCAACTATTCGACTGCGTATGTACTGTAAGACTCCTACGTCAATGAGTAATAAAATTGAACAAATATAATCTATTAATAGAAAGAAACATGTTCTGATTTTCTAGATTATCTCTCAAACCATACAAAAGTTTTAATTAAAAACCTAAATGACTTTTTTTACTTGTTAATATTACAATAAAGCATCCTGAACAATATTGATTCTCAAGTGTGCAATCAAATCAAAAATTTTACTTTCTGATATTCGATAACATAAAAAACTACGTCAGTTATTTTCATTACATTTAATTGAACTATATGATGATGGTAGAACCGAACAAGTCACCCATTTCATGCAATCTACAAGTATATGTAGTCCAAATTGACGTATGACATCATGTCAAAACTACTAATGATCCTACTAGTCTATAATTAAGATCAATCTACCCAGTGGAACATTTCATTTTTACTCCGAAGACAGTTCGATTAATGCTATGCATTTATTAATAAAAAGGAAAACCAATCAGACGATAGAATTACGTGTAACAAATTCGATAAAGTCTTCAACTATCGTTTGCTTTTCTCGTAAAGCTCGTGCTTTTCATTACGCTAAAAGCAATATAGAAAATGATGCTTACTCTTTTTGACGAACTCTTTCCAAGTACAACTATGGAAATCGTATATTTGATTATATGCAACTACGATGCATACTATTTGACTGGAATCTGTGTCGATTGTTATTCATAGTTTATCTGATAGCAACGCCATTACTAAATGCATGTGGATGTACTATCATTAGCAGGCATAGTTTGTAATCTATGGTTTCATGAATCAAAAAAAGAATAGGAAAACTCCGGATGCCATCTCGTTTTAGCTCTGTACACGGCAGAAATACTTGAAAACTCTTCATCGTCAGAAAAAGAAATCTATGATATAGATATTCATGTTAGACAAATTTTTATTTAAAAAAAGTTAGTAAGTTGGATCGAACACTCGGTTTTCAAGCATTTTAAAACTTATCCTAAACGAAAACATTTCGAGTTCTGGTAAGTGCCAAAAATCATCAGTCACTCAGTGTTATAATTGTTGAGCTATTCAGCCTTACAGTAATCACAGTTGGATATTGGCACGGACATCAGTTCTTTTGTTTCTGTTGTCAACACCACACTGTCAAGCTATGCAATAAGCGTCTGTCAGTTCTGCATATAGAATATTACAGATAACAGCAACTGCTATTTTCTATTTCGAAAACAGATCAAGGCCTCGATCGAGCAACTTGCCAATCGGTACAAATCTAGTTATAAAGTCAATATGGCCTGTCTGTTGTGTCATTTCGAATAGGAAATGTATGACAACTTCACCGAGCTCGTGACTATGAAAGTAATTGTAAATAAGGGTTTTTGGCTGCTATTATATGAAAGAAAATCTTTTCGGACTCAATAACAAAAAAACAATGAAGTAATGCAAATTGCAAAAATATAAATACGCCAACACTGAGACTTTGTCTTACAATAAGAAAATCAGGACAAGATTAAAGATTATTTGTATAATACCCTACGGATAAGTTTATAAGATTTTCGAAATCATGAATGGCCCACTCACTTCAATATCTAATGAAAAAAAGGATAAATTATAAATTTCAAGGGGTTAATTTAGGAACATAAATAACTCAATAGATTTCCGTTATGCATACCAAATGTGTGCTTTTATAGGCCTATTTTTAGCATAGTACCAATATAAAATACTCTTGATGATTATTCAAATAATAGAAAAGTTAATAAATAATGAGCGATTCATGAAGATACTTCACCTAATCTTGTACCTGTTTCTGTAAGTCTCCTATCAAGTGTCATACATCGATTTTGTAGTGTTTGTAATTTAATTATGATACTATCTTGCTAAGAAATATCTTTATCTAAATGTATAGAGTCGTCACGGAACCGATAAGGATCATATGTCATCGTCTAATCTTTATCTTATATTTGCTTGAGCATCAAGTGATTCTTTTTATTTTTCTTAGCAAACAGCCAGCATAAACTTATGTTTTTTTATCTTTAAAACCGTCGATATTCAAAAGCATACTTTATATTATTCAACGGTCGTATTTCGTCAGTGTTCTATTTATTGAAACGATAGTAAACTGCCTCAATAATAGATCTGCTAAAGAGAAAATAGAATAAAGCAATTTAATATAAAGTTTGCTATAAAGTATATGAGAATTAAATTAACTCAACAAACAACAAACAATATAAATATGCTATTAGTTCAATTTTCAATGCTAGTTGATTCGTTTAATGCAAAATAGACTTATTCACTAAGAGCTTATAAATAATCATTAGCAGCAATATAAAATGGACGAATAATCGTTTTAAATCATGTAACCTCGAGCACTATGGAAAAAAAGTCGAATATTCAGCTGTTTGTCTATTGGTTGTTCTTTCAATCGATTACACAAACACGACTCGACAACGACAGCTATCTTAGGATAAACGAATACTCTCATCTCCTACTAGAACTATGCGTTCCGACATGACTGCATGCTGTTGAATTTTTCTTCTCTATCCCATGTAAAAAAATTGGATTAATAATCAGATTAAAAATCTATTATAATGGCACTATTTTAATCGATTATAATAGTTTTGTAGGTAATCAATTAAAATTGATTAAAATACAACCAAAATCAAAAATAATCTGCCTTTTAAGGTTGAAAAATCTGATTAAAATCAGATTAAAATTAGATTATAACAGTGCCATTAAAATAGATTCATAATCGCATAAAAATCAATTATAATCAGATGCTTTACGATTTTGTTTTACATGGGATATATGTAAATTCTTAAAAAATTTGTATATGCACGATGAAATATAATGATGCTAATTACGATTGGAACTATGTTAGAGAAATTCTGTTCTTATCCCTAACAAGCAGCACTGGAACCGAACCGGTAAATACCGGAAAATCACCGGTTGAAATTTTAAAATAACTATCTTCATTTAGATCTATTTTTGTTTAAAAAATGTTTCATGAATTTTTCTATGAAGTAGATCTAGATACAATGAAATTGTGCTATCAATATATATATAGAAAGTCTTACGAAACTATTGATGATGCAAAGTTTTGTGTAGTTCAGAAGGAATATTTGATTGTCGTCATAGACACAATCAATAGATCTCATTTTCTTTCACAGTAAAGAGAAATCAACGAAAGTACGACAGCAAATCAGTTTGGTTGATTGATGCACTCTATTTTATTGGCAGTGTTCTTTTTTTTTATCATACATAGTTGTAAAAAGATGATTTGATAATAAAATTTGAAGCGTCTATCTTTTCTTTTGATTAGATGCGTTCCGAAAATATCCCCGGAAACTCGATTAAGTGCTCGGGAACCAAACCCAGACCAATATAACAGATATAGAGATATACAGTGCATAGGAGGTCTAGGGGGTACAGGAGTTATAGGAGATATTTTTTTCCCTTTCATCTCTTAATTTTATTTAATTATAACTCAACGAAAGTAAAATTTCCTTTCACAGATATTACTGATATCAATATTTATTTGTTGAATTTTGCTCGTTGTTTATTAATCTTCTATATCCCCAATACTCCTGTACTCCGTAGACCTCCTAGACTAGCGGCGTAACCAGGTTTTAAGGCTGGGGTGGGCTAAGCCCCGAGACCAGTTGAAACCAGTCGTAAAAGCATCGCTTTGAAGTCGTTTTGTTTGAATTGATATACCGAAATGCCGGCAATAATAGCAATAAGCAGTGTCATTCTTAATGGAATATTCAAGCCATGGACGATTGCAATACCATTGAAATTGAAATGAACGACTTTCGTTGTTAACAGGATACGTGGATAAAACTGGTCGTACTGGTGGATGATCAACAGAGATACTGATATCGCAAGATGAAGCATTATAATTGGCAGCAATTCGATCTTGCTTATCTGAAGATGAATCCGAGATAGTCAGTGATTCCGTAATGATACCAATGCATGCGTCTACAGTTGTACAAGTTGAATTCGACGGTTCATCTGCTTTTTTTTCTTTCGACCAAAGACTTTCAAGAGTACCGATTCGTTTATTCGAAGAATCTGTGTAATTGTTTGCCTGCCTCTTCATAGTACGTTATAAGATGTTTTGATAAAATAATCCAAAGAAAAGTAACAATGCCAACTGAAAGAAGAGAGAGAGAGAGAGAGAGATACGATGACTGTAATTTTCTTTCTACATAAAATTAGTCACAACATTTTTTCTAGCAGATTATTTCTTTCCGTTCGTTCATAATGAACTCAATTGTCATGTTGAAAATGTTATCATCGATTAGACAGAACAGACGATGATCATTTGTTCCCATGAAATGTACACAACATAGATCAACAGAACAAAATTGTTCTTTTTTCTTTCCAGCCAATTGTGGGTGTGGGTGTGGGTGGGTATGCATTAGGATAAGACTAGACACTCACATTTACAACCACACCCACACCCACACCCCAGCTCACCCTGTGGTTACGCCACTATCCTAGACCCCCTATACGCTGTATATCTCTATATCTGTTATATCTGCTAGGTTTGGTTCCGTAGCACTTAATCGAGCTTTCGGGGATATTCTCCGAACGCATCATATGTTTCTTTCCTACAGATTTGTTGATAGCTTTAATCATATTTCATCAAGAATGTAAATTCTCTAAAGTATATTTTCAAATGTTTTTCCTTAGAAGCTTGATCAGAAAATTTAAAGTATTCAGCTATCAGCATTCATAATGTGAGGAGCTGAGTCATAAGATTCGAATAGGCCTATTTAACCATTAACTAATTGATATCATTGCTGGAACTCACTCTATCAGTTTTTACCGTATTTTGGTTATCTGAAACAATTTTCAAGGAATTAAATCCATCAGTTGTTGTCCGATTTACCGGAATTTCACCGATTCGAGAGTAATTTATGTCCGGCTGGACCGGACCGGTAAAGTTTTTTAACCGGCCGGACAGGACCGGTTTATGGATTTTTTACCGGTTCCAGCTCTGCTAACAAATGAACAAGACCTAACTGGAACGACCTATCCATAAAGTATTAATCATTATAAAATTGAATAAAAATGTATTCCACATAAAATAGTTTTCTCTCTGTGTTTGGTTCAGGAGATTTGCTGAACTTATTCATATAAAACTACGCTTGTACGAAATGCTGCTGGATAGTTTTTTTTAAATAAAGCATGATAATAAGGGTCTAGAATTTGAGGAGAATTTTCTTTCTGAATCGAAAAAACTGTGAAATACACAAACTTGTAGAAATTTGAAGTCTTGTTCAATACGAAGTTTTCTTCGATATGAAGGGAAAAGAAACCGAAAGAAAACAGTAGTACATCTGGATGGAATGATACTAGAATCTAACATGTTTTTGTGAAACGCGATCTGAAAGGAGTGTTGAAGCATATAGGGTAGAAATTTGCCCCCCCCCCCACACAGCCGGGGACTGACAATTTACTTAATTAATTTCTCTGTACCAGGCTGTGGTGGTCTCTAGTGCCTCCGTGCACTATAGTACAGACCACGACAGAGAAGCTCTACACGCCATCACAAATCGTGGTAGACTGATTTCAGAAAAAGAGCTTTATCGTGTTTCACATTTTAATCCCACAGGGTTTGCGCTAACAGCTTTTCATTAAAATTTCACTGAAAACTGATAACAGTAAAAAGAAGTGAGACAGTATTCATACTTTTTTCTTTTGTTTCATAATCGAATGTTTAATTTTCATTGAAAATTTCGATGTTGAAACTACATTCTTTAAGAGAAATCATAAACTGCGTTTCTCCTGATGTTCAATGGTTGTTAAGACAATCCTGCGACTTTTTGCTTCACAAACTTTAAATTATCTTTTTTCAAGGAATATTTTCTTCATACCCAGGTGAATGAATCCGATACCGATTCCGATCGGATCTTATAAAATCCGACGAACCGACAAAGTCCCATGGGATTCTGGGTTGAGGACCTATTAACGGATCCCTAGTGTTGGAATCCGGTGAACATCCGACCAAATCTAACAACCGAATTTGATAGGAATTTCCGAAGTTGGATTCCAACGAGGTTCCTGAAGAAACCCATCGGGTTTTGACTGATGTAACGAATTTTTTTTGATGATAAATGGATAGTTTATATTCGTTACTGCTACAGCTTTTATTTTTTATTTGTGATCACAAAGAGAAACTGGAAGCGTAGCGCTACTGCTATCCTCGGTGTATAAGATGTTAGTTACACTATTCCATTCTCCAATGTTCTAGTTCTGTTCCAGTTCTGTATTTCAACACAATGCAAACGCCTTATATACGTGCACACAAGAGAGAGAGAGAGAAGAAAGAACAGAAACATATGATAGACATTTCCGCCTCACATTAATTACGTTCATAAACGTAACCACATTGCGCAATGATATCCAGATAATATTTAGAAGAAGATCAGATACATTAATGATAGTAGTAGGTTGTACGACATCCGTTGAGAATAACACATTTTATAACACTGATGAGAAAGTAAAAGTCCTGTCTGCACGACAGTCCCGAAGGGTAATTAAAAAAATGTACACCAAATATGTGAACAATAAAGGAATGCCATGCATTATTGGCACAACTGATTCTTGCAAGAATCGCTCGGATTCCAATACGAGGAATTCGTCAGTAGGTCCGCAACCCGGATTTGCTTAGAATCCTGCAGAAACCAATCGAAATTCGATCGAATCCGGTTAGATTCAGCTATCGAATTGTTCGTCCTGGGTAAACAATGATGCAACGAGATGCGTCGCTGTTTATCTAAAGAGTGCTTGCACTTTTAGTTGTCTTTTGAATATTAATAAAACTAATTCAATTTTACCAAATATCGGAAATTACTAGAACAAAACATGCAATTTTACCATTGCTATTGTTCAATAGAGCTTTAGTAAGAGCACTAAAACATCCGTGGCATATTCTATTTTAATGAATATTTCGTTTTTAAAGATTTGAGTGAACCGTGTGGTCAGAAGCTACTAATTAAAGATAAGTCTGATCACGTTTGCGAAAAATCTAGCTTTGTTAGTCTATTTACATAAAGTAATGAACACTCTAATCCACTCTCCCCCGACGATTCCCCGGGGAGTCCCTGTCGTGAGTCCCCGGGGATTTCTCTGGGGAGAATTGATGAATTTTTTTTAAATTTTAAAAAAATTAGAAGAATTTATTAGTAATTAGATATTTCATCGATTTTGGCCAGAATACTCCCCGGGGAGTCCCCGAAAAAGAACGAAATCCCTACGGACTCCCTGGGGATTTTTCTAGGGAGAATTGACTAGGGCATGTACAAAGTCAGCAATAGAATTGGTACTAACTACGAAATAACCCAATTCTGTACAACAAAATGGATTCCTAAAATTAAAAAAATATTTCTTTCAATTCTAAAATCAGATCGTGCAAGGAGGTTTATTTACAAATGATTTACGGGTAAAAACTAGCCTACGTAGCATACCGATATGGAGCAATTATTAAAAAGAAAATGTCATGGAGGTTTTAGTACACTTGTTATTGCAATCTTAAACAGTAATTTGCCTGAATATTCTATAGGAAAAAAGAAATTCTTTTGTTATATTTTTTTACAAGTTTCCGGTTTGTGTTTAGAAGACAATAGGTTTTTTAAAAGGACTTTTGGCGTGTAGAGAAGATTTGTTTTCTATGCCATGATATATTACAAAAAAAAAGTATTTCAAATTAAAACAGACTCGGAATAGTTTGTGAGGAGAACTTTGTTGGGCAATTTGATGACATCAGAAATGCAAAATGATTGTAACATGTCATCTCAAGATTACACAGGTCCATCCAATAATCTTAAACGAGGACTCTTTATTGGTTTTCTAACATTATCGAGCATTTTGTATTTGTTTATTATTTATCATTTAATAATGAATAGAACACTGCGGCAATGTTTTCATAATTGTAACAATTTCTGATAGAAGAGATACCTGTGCTGATGGTATTACACTTTATTTCACTCTTCAAATCATAAATTCGCATCGATTACATATAAAGCACCCGTTTAAGTACTCAACCATTTGAGAGAACGAAGGAAAATGAGAGATAAGGACAAATATCAAGGACAGAAAGATAAAGGCAATACATGTGATGAGAAGAAATGGCACCATAAGGTCAAATACCATGCACAGACCACACTCGAACGAGAGCATTACACTCCCACGTGGAATCTAGACGCTCTCCGCATTTATCGTTACAATAATCATGTTATATTAATTTTGCTGGTTACAAATTTTATTTTTATAGCTACTGACTTATCAATAACAGCTCATTTTTTCGTTTTGTTTTATAGAAGAAGGTTAAAGACGTCTATGTCTCATTTGGAATTTTCTTGATTCGTTTCTGCAGAATTTATCAACATTTTTAATGTTGTGGACATCTATTGAACGTCATATACTAGTCTTTCATAGTCATCAACTATTCAATACAGGATATAAACGTTTTTTCTGTCACTATTTCTCTTTGATTGCTATTATTGTATATGCATTTATCTTTTATATGATTATAAATTTTTAGAAATCATCTTGTTATAATGATGAATATTTTGCATACGATGAATTGTTTTGTGGTGTACCATATAGCATACAAAAAAAAATAGCATATTAGCATGGATTGATTATTTATTTCACAAGATCTTCTCGTCTGTATGAATATTTGTTTTCAGTTTAGTGTTAATTATTGGTGTTATTTGCTGCAAAGGCAAAGAAATCAAAATATAAGATGGCGGTAACACCGCAAGTCGATCATTCAATTTATATCTATATCAGTATTATATTTTATTGACACAATACCGCTGGCTATTCATGAAATTGATGATATATGAAACAGTGTTTGATACGTCAACATCGGGTAGGAATTACTCATGTAATTGTAGAAGGTAATGCAAATAACACGTTGTAATATACTATATTTTATCTTATCAAATAAAAATAACGAAAGTATCATTTTAATTGTCAGCCACTATTGAAATTCTCTATGAAGAATCCACTAGATATTAAAAGGATGTCTATCTGAATTTGCTAAATACCTGCAATGTCTTTCGTAGTTTCATTCTATTGGTTTGCTTATTAATGTAGAAAAACTTGATCTTTTATGTTAGTGAATACCATTTATTATATGACCCAGATGTTACTTAGGAGTACTTGATAAGATGTAGTGTCTATCGTGTTTCTCATGCACATTAAGATAATTAATTTTGTAATGTACTAAGTTCTAGTAAACAATAGAAACAAATCAAGCACACAATGGCCAGAGGACACGAATAAAGGCAGTAAGAGAACTGAGGCTGTTACAAAAATAAAGGGACTACAGACTGTTTATGGTTGCATTCCATAGTGATTCATGACCTGTAAAAGATGTCACCTTACAGATAACGAAGAAAAATTTAGAATACTATCGGGAATAATCGACTAAACAACGCAGATTTTCATTTTTTATGATGCTTATTAGTTTTGAATAGTAGAACTTGAAAATTCAACAATATTTTACTTTATCCACAATTTTTATCTTTTTATAAAACACGAAAATGCTACTAGTTTATCATGAAAACGTAGTAAAACGAGTAAATAATTCATTATATTTTCAATTACTTTGATATTTTTCGATCATTTTCCATTTTCGAACCATTTTAAATTATACATCGCTTTTCAGTATGCATACCTACTGTAAACCAGTTTATGGAGAAGAGAAAAACGTTCAGATAAGTTAATAAACGCATTCGAACGCTGAAACGCTCTCTAGCCAACAAATGCGACCATAAATATTCTCTGGATACGCTCGTCAATAATTTCAACATTCAACCAAGCCGCTATAGAAAGTTTAGTGATTCTATTTATTTACTTTAGCATAAAAGGTAAAGCCAAGGGGGAAAAAGCGATTTATGAGTTTCATGATTTTTCTGAGTTTAGCTGATTTAAAATGAGTTTGAGAAAACGAAAAATTTGCTAAACTAACTAAAAACTATTCCAAATCATAAATTATTACTGAAAATCATTCAAAGGCACCGAAACTCACGCAAACTCATTCCAATACAGTTAATTTATATTGATTGTAAGTTGAGTTTTACTGTGATTTAAATCAGCTTTTTCCCCCTTGGGTAAAGCACTTAATCAATTAAATATTTTATCGGCTATTCAATATGTATTTTAACGTGCTTATTTCAGTTTCAAAATTTTTATGTGGAGGATCTTGTCCAATAGATTTCTCGTCATTTCGAACTTATCAAAATATGAACGATTATTTTTCTGTGAAAGATCTCTTTAAAAGGGTTATCTTGAATTTTGGATGCTATTTAATGAAGTATAAAATTAATATTTAAAAATTTATTCTGAGATTCGAAATACCAAAATTGTTTTTATTATTTTATTATGAAGAATGCAATCAATTATTTTTCATAGATTGATGCTAAATATTATTCAGAAAATAAGCTGAAATCAATATTGAAGATCAATAATTTTATGAAAATAGCTAAATAAAAAGAAAACATTTGCAATCACATTAAACTCTCTACTCGAAGCTGTAATTTCTCTAGGTCTGCTTCCGCTACGGTAGTTAACATTTTTCTTCCAATATGTGTTGTTTTCTCGATTAGTCGACAATTTACTGTCTTTTTAATTCACTCGATCAAAATTCTGGTCTGCTTCCGGTTGATTTATTCTTATTGAGTAATTTAAATACACACTTTAGGAGCCGAAAAATAATCTCTTGTATACGAAAAGAACGAACAAAAAAAAAATATATATGCAATATTTCAAATTTTCGCACCCTTGCCACAGCCATTCTTTTCTTTTCAAAGCTGGCTTAGAGTTGTCATCGGTTCTGTTTTGATTTAGTAGTCGTAATATAAAAACAACATCGACCATACCCGTGAATAGATAAGTGCTCGTAGAATCAAATAATGTGACTCATTTATTCTCGAAGAAAATATCCTCAGGAATGAGTTGTAAGTGTAAAAATATTGATGTGACACATTCTTTATTCATGAATCAGCATACTTCTTGTTAACAAATAAAAACATCTGAGAGTAGTGATCGCCACCATATGTTAGTGGTGTTGCTTTCTTTTAAAGCAGTTCGAGTCCGTTTTGTATTTTACATAGAAGAAAAAAAAGCGATAAAAAGTAAAGTTTGATCTTTATTTTCATTGAAACAAGTCTTAATTCTTTGTCAGGGTCCTTATCAAATAAAAGAAAAAAGAACGTAAAAGATAAACGACTGATTCATCATTCCTACGCCAATACTCAAACATTTTAATGTGAACTTCTATCGAACATTCTGTGTCAAATAAGTAGTAGTCTACATGGGTGAAAAATCCGCATTTATCGAGAGAGGAGAAAAAGAACTATTTATTCATTGTAATACGGAAAGAAAAGCCATCTGACATTTTCTTTTCGGTTCTGTGTATAATAACTACGCATTCTTTTCTCAGTCTGCCATTTAAGTATACATTTTTTTCTCTCTCACGTAGATACTATGTCTATTGCCAATAGAAACGATGCTGTGGAATTCAATGACGTCGTAGATTTAAATCGGGAATGGAAATGCTTACATTTAATTAGCCAAACACCGAAAAATGATTATGCTTTAGTAAATTACGATGATAATCATTGGAAAACGATTGAACTACCACATTGTGAAACTATAAACGATACATCAGCATATTGGTATCGTAAAAAATTTCACTGGAGATACAAATCAAATATTTCACAACAAATTTATTTAAATTTTCCTTCAGTTGACAATGACAATAGAATACCAGGAATTATTTTATGGTTAAATGAAGAGTTAGTTTTTACCGGTACACTTTCAAAGCAACCAATAGAAATTACATCATATTTACATAGAAACGTGGATAACGTTATTGCTATTTGTTCATCAGACGGTTACTCGCTTTCATTAAATGCTTATATATTTATGCCCAAGGCTTCTATCGGTCAATTGAATTATGATCATATTGATGAAAACACATTAAAGCCAAAACGTAAAAAACTGGACTATACAGCATGTTTTAGTGATACCGATGGACTTATTGATGTTGTGATTGATTCAACACAAAAAATGGACGAAGAACAATATTCATCAGTTGAAGATGAATGGGTCAATATATCTAGGCTAGATATTGATCAGTCCCAAGAAACAGTCATCGCAGGTCATATACCACGTCTTGCTATACTTATACTGATTGTTGGAACACGTGGAGATGTTCAACCTTTTATTGCTTTAGCAAAAACATTACGTTCGTATGGCCATCGAGTTCGTCTTGCTACACATGAAGTGTTTCGAAAGTTCGTTCGAGAAAATGGAATTGAATTTTATCCATTAGCTGGTGATCCAGCTGATCTTATGTCATTTATGGTAAAAAATGCCGGCATTGTTCCATCCGTTAGTAGTATTGTATCTGGCGATGTAGGTAAAAGTCGTCGAATTATTGCTGATATTCTTAAATCTACTTGGAAAGCATGTATTGACGAAGATGACGAAACAGGTATATCATTTGTAGCTGAAGCAATTATTGCTAATCCACCATCATATGGTCATATTCATTGCGCACAGAAATTACAGATACCACTTCATATGATGTTTACGATGCCTTGGTCACCAACAAGTGCTTTTCCACATCCTTTTTGTAAGGTTAATTACGATTTAGGACCAACCGATCTTATTAACCGATTATCATATGGTGTCGTGGATATGTTGGTAGGTGTTTGTATTAAAATCATTCTATTTCAATCAGCAGTTGTATGGCTTAATAGGGATGAAAATAAATATACCTAGAAAGTAATTGATTATGAATTCAAGGAGTTGGAATATTCGAGATGAGTTAGCTATGTAAAATGATTATTTATTGAAGTAAGTCAATGTTTTATAACTAACGGTAAATAAAATCACTGATGAATAATTCAAACGTTTGCAGTTTCATTCATAACAATTAATTAAGGGGAATTGAAAGTTAAACATTATTCAACAGATTTCAGGTGTCTTTTCCGAAGATTTCTAAAATAGAAGAATTTGGTAAGATATTTCGAATTATAGAATATTTAGCAGTGTGCCTGAAAATTGGACGCTTCTATTAAAAATAGCAAAACTCATCTGAAATGGTGTATTCATTCGGTGAGGGTTCTCGTATGATACGAATGAAAAATGTGAATTTATCTGTGACGAATCAGGGTGCACTCATCACATTTTTATTACGAAATCATTCTATATTATTTGAATAAGTTCAGACTCAAATTCGAAACCTTTCTTTTACATCTATTTAGACATGGTCTGGTATGCGTGATATTATAAATGAATTTCGTGAGAATACTCTTCAACTGTCATCTTTGCGTACGAAAGAAGGCTTTCAAGGATTGACCATTGAAAAAGTTCCCTATACTTATTGTTGGTCACCATCTCTTGTCCCGAAGCCAGCTGATTGGCTTCAACATATTAGTGTTTCTGGATTTTTCTTTCTTGATCTTGCAACAAATTATCAACCACCTGAGCGACTTCTTCAATTTCTTCAAGCTGGTGATCCACCTATCTATATTGGTTTTGGTTCAATTACAGGTCACGATTCACGTCGTATTCTCAACGTTGTATTAGAAGCTTTAGCTACAACAGGATATCGAGCCGTACTATTGGGCTTAGCTAAAGATGATGATATACTACCTGATAATGTTTTGAAAATTGATAGTTGTCCACATGATTGGTTATTTCAATATGGTATGGTATAAGTTTTACTTTTGTTTTTGATAATCAATAATCAATTGATATTGTTTTAGTATCGGCTGTATGTCATCATGGTGGTGCTGGCACAACCGCTGCTGGTCTTCGTGCTGGTAAGCCAACCATTGTTGTTCCATTTTTTGGTGATCAGTTTTTTTGGGGAGCAATGATTGCGAAAATTGGTGCTGGTCCAACACCTATCCCTGGCAAGCGTCTAAAAGTTCATGAGCTGTGTGAAGCATTTCGGATGGTTCATCAAACAAGTACACGTGAAGCTGCCGAAAGATTACAAGCTGCATTTGAACATGAAAATGGATGTGATGCTGCGGTTCATGCATTTCATTCTAATTTACCATTAGAAAAAATGCAAAGTGATATTGAATCTACATTTGGGGCATGCTATTGGCTGAAAGATTATAATTTGAAACTATCCCGTCCTGTTGCACAAGTTCTTGTTAGTGCTGAAGTGATAAAAGAATCAGAATTGAGTGTACATTCGACGTACAGTTGGAGTAGACTAGAAAAAAATGATCGTCCTCATTTTCCTATTTATGGTATGATAAGACATGGACAAAAAGCTTACAATTCTTTATTTATCGATACGCCGAGACGTTTACGCCGTGCAACAAGTTCAAGTAATTTAATTGCTGGTGCACGTGACAGTGCAGAATGTATTGCTAAAGGTGTTGGGAAAAGTCTGGGACATGCATCAATTGGTTGTTTATCATTGTATGGTGATGTAACTGATGTTCTCGAACGTTTGCCACAATTATATGATCCATATTCGGAATGTGATAAACATAAACAACCACACATAGACGGTATTCAATCAGGGGCTAAAGCCGCTGGAAATTCTGTGTGGCATGGATTTAAAGATGGTATAGCTGGATTAATAAAAAAACCTCGAACAGGCTTTCAACGTCATGGAATCATTGGTGGTGCAGCTGGTGCAGCTGTTTCTATACCAAGTGTTGTTATTAAACCTGTTGCTGGTACATTAGCGTCAATAACATGGTTAAGTCGAGGTGTTTATGCCGAAGCAAAACATTTCAAGAATAAAAGTAATCCTGATTCGGGTAATCAATCACCAGTATCTCGTCCTTACGGACATAGACGAACAGCTTCTGGGCCACAGAGTTACCAGACGGATACTTCACCAGAAGGACGAGCTTCATTTGAATCCGGTTTAACAATCGATAAATGCACAGAAATTTTGACTGAATTTGAACGAATTAAAAATGAACGGGAATCAATGTCCATCAACAGTAATAAATCATCACCACGGAAAAAAGAAAACAAAATAAAAAGATTATTTCAACGACAACGTAGTGGCTCAGCTACTTAAATGTAGCCGTTTGTTTTTGTGCTCAGCGTCGATAAGATTTTTTTAATTTAATTTTTATGTTTTTCAAGACTTTCTGTTCAGATAATTCATTACAGTTTAATATGTTGAAAAAATGTACAAGGAATTATAATCAGTTATTAAAAATATTTCGAATAAAAAACTATTTTCTTCTAAATGTTTATATTTTCGGTCATAATCTCAAATGATTCGTTTGGAAAAATAATCACATTTAATGCTGTTTTGTCTCAGTGTGCTATAATTATCGTTTACTATATCAAACACAGATAGACCTAGGTTCATTGGTAAAAAAAGGACATTTTCTCATTATATTGATTTTTGAAAGACAAATGATTTACAACAAGAAATCTTCACATGACTCTATCATATATTTTCTTTTTGCTAACAATAAATTGAAATTAATACTTTTCTATTTCTATGGATGGTGAATAGTGCGTACTTGTGGATCCATTGATGAATGACTTGTCAAATGTAAGGATCTGTGTGCGCGTATGTGCCTCTAAACATAAATGTTCATTTCTTCTTCTTATTGCTCTTTTGATAAAAGTAAAAAGTCATCGTCAATATATTATACATGAAAATTGAGTCGTAACTTTTCGACTTCTCATTCCTTTTACAAATTATTGGTGTCTATTGAGTGAAAAATATCTCAACAAAGATAATTTTAATGATGCAAAAAATTTGATTCTAAACCTAAAATATTAGGTTATATAATATGGATTCAAATCTATATATCAAAATTGTCGATGTTTTGATATTTTACAAATTAAATCTAGATTTTCTTCGCACACTTCGATAGTTGTCTCGTTTGTCAAACTTTCTTTTTCGTTGAAACAAAAGTTATCTAAGATGGACAATGAATTTATGTTTAGAAAAAAAAAAGATATGGCATATACGTAGTAATTGTTATTCATTATACAGTAGAAAAATAGAAAATAACCAGTATTATAAAATTCCAAATAAATTTTCGGAAATGAAACTAAAGCATATTCAAAAATATCAAGTGTCCTATAGTTGTTGCACCAATCGCGATGTTTGAGGATGTCGGTCTACTTATATATTTGCTAGTTATTTCTCTCTATAAGAGTTTTCTTTTAATTCTTTCATTTTATCTTTTGTTTTTGAGTATAAATAGAAGAGAAAATTCTTGATTGATTCATCTATCTTTTCAGGTAAGACAAATGAGTAAATCACTATTATGGTTGAAAGATTATAATTTGAAACTATCGCGTCCTGTTGCACAAGTTCTTGCTAGCGCTGAAGTGATAAAAGAATCAGAATTGAGTGTACATTCGACGTACAGTTGGAATAGACTGGAAAAAGATGATCGTCCTCATTTTTCTATTTATGGTATGATAAGACATGGACAAAAAGCTTACAATTCTTTATTTATCGATACGCCGAGACGTTTACGCCGTGCAACAAGTTCAAGTAATTTAATTGCTGGTGCGCGTGACAGTGCAGAATGTATTGCTAAAGGTGTTGGGAAAAGTCTGGGACATGCATCAATTGGCTGTTTATCATTGTACGGTGCTGCAACTGATGCTCTCGAGTGTTTACCACAATTATATGATCCACATTCGGATTGTGATGGACATGCACGACCCAAACTCAATGGCATTTAATCGGGTGCTAAAGCCGCTGGAAATTTCGTGGGGCATGGACTTGAAGATGGTATCACTGGGTTAATAAGAAAACCTCGAGCAAGCTTTCGATGACATCGCATATTAGATGGTGCGACTGGTATAGGTGTTGCTATACCAAATGTTATTATTAAAACAGTTGCTGGCATTCTAGCATCTATTACATGGTTAATTCGTGGTTGCTATGCTGAAGGAAAGCATTTGAAACGTAAACGTCATTGCATATGCGAGTAACCAGTTATTATTATCAAGCCCCAATGGCGATCGGCGAACATCTTCCAGATCACAGATTTATGATATAGATGCATCGACAACAGGACGAGCTGCTCTGGAGTTATGCTTAACAATCAATAAATGCAGAGATATTTTGACTGAATTCGAACGAATTCAAAATGAGCTGGATTCAATGTTTATCAAAAGCGATAATCCAAAAATGGAAACAGCGAGAAAAGTTTTAAAAGATTATTTCACCAACAATGCAGTTGCTTCTCAACTTAAGTGTATCAGCTTTTTGTGCTGAAAGTAAATAGTATTTTGTTTCGCTGTTAACTATTTTGGCACGGATTGTATAATAATAGTCACTGCAATCGAATTTATTGCAGAAAAGTTGCTTAATTCTTTATAAAAATGTCAAATATGAATGATGATTTGCTTCGATTATCTACGTTGTTAATAAGTGGCACTGGTTTCAAGTAAATCATGTGTTATTATAAAAAGTTTAACAGATAGTAGCATTCAATCTAAATGATAGTATCATAAAATATGTATTCTAAATTTGCAGATACTAGCATAATTTTTATCAATTTAATAGCTCTGCCCTAAGCGGACAGCAGGGCACAATCACAACTCATGAAATATGTTTAAAGAAAGACAGATCAGGTCAAAGAAATATGCCCTGCTAAGATCTTTGATGTTTTGTTAATTTTCTTGTCTAAAATATTGTGAGTAACATAATCATTCTGGAAGCATATTAGAATCGTCCGTATTCGAAATCTAGATTCATTATTGATAGACGGCACAAATCATTAGTTTCCTTCAAACATACGACAGTATAATTCGTCGTTTAAGAAAACAAAAACATGCAAAATATTTTTTTCGCGCTCTGCATGTCATCTACAAGACGACATTTCGGAGTGAAAAGGTTAAATATAACTTTTTTCAATTTATTCAATATACGTATTCATCATTAGCTTTTTGACATTTGATTTGGAAGCATAATCAACTTAGAAGAGTTCGGCTATAGAAAAAAGGATATCTATTTTACAAGTTTTAGAAGTTGAATAACGAAAAAAGTCTAGAATTGAAAAATAAGAGCATTATTTTAATTCTTTTTTCTTCGATCAGATTTATTTTTAAAAACATTTTTAGGCCAAAATCGATATATTAAAATTAATGGAAATATTTGATAATAACCATATCCTAATATAAAAAATAGTAAATTTTTCGCTTTTTCTGTACCAAACACAGCTTGATAAAAGAAATAATTCAAATCAAAAAATAATATCAATGAAAATATAATCATTGGCATACGAATCCATTGTTTTTCATTATAAATAGCATATGTTGCAATTAAATAAAATGGCGCAAACATAAATGGTGATAGGAAAGTTAAATATTTTACTAAATAATCATTATGAAGTAAAATTGGATCAACGTTTTCACACCACCAATAAAATAGTTTGAGAACAAACTGTGGTGGCCAAATCCATTTTGATGTATTTTCATTGATAATTTCTTCGTTTACGGTAGCAACAGAATTAATGTAATCGATTGAAATGGCGAATATGAAAAACACAGTAAAAGAACCAATTATTAATTTGTCGATAGATCGCATTGAAAGTTAAAATAAATAAATAGTAGTAGTAGCTCGTAAGGTTTTTCAACTTCGTATAAGATACTATGATCTAGAAATATGAGCAATAAATATAATATATGTTGGCAAGCAAATAAACAGAAAACTGACATTCTAGAATATGCATACATGTGCGGTAAGAGCATGTTTCTGTTTTATTCTTTCTTCTCTTTCACCTTGCTGTTTAAGAGGTAGCAATAAAATTTTTATTTTCTTCGTATGACAAAGAGTAAAGCAAATTTGTTTTTACCTTGAAGAAAAGAAAATTACTGAAATTTACACACGTTCGATAATGATATAGAAGTGCAAGTCAAAACTTGCTAGAAACATTGGAACTTTTCGAAATTAAGTATTTTGAGAACAAACCAACAATTGTCAACACAAATACTCGAATCACGAAATATTAAAATTGAAGATAATCTACTCATAGAAAAATGCTCCAAATTTTCGAAGAATTTCAAACTATTGTCGTGCATATCTTTTGGATATTGCCTTTGTATACCAGAGTAAAATCAGTACGGGAGTGTTTTTTCTCTAAAATAATGTAAAACAATTGTATCATTGAAATTGACGAGCTTGAGTTCAGCTATATTTTTGGTAATATATTAATACAGAATCGATCAAACATTGAATCAGCAATTCAAAAAATTGAGATTGCTAGTGAACGCTTTCCCTTGTACTATCATATCAAGTCGTTGATCATCAACAACATCCAATAATGAATAGATACCATCTATAGTATCAAGTTTCTTTAAAATGATAAATAATATCGCATTGGACAGATCAAGAAATCCAATATCTGATCGATTCATGTTAATTTTGATCTATAATTTTACTTATGTGATACACAGAACATAGATATATGTATGTTTATTGGCTACTTGTACCTAGTGTTGTCATTGAACTGATTGCCAACGGATAGATAACCGACGGCGAACAAAAATTATACCGTTGAGAGCGAATCAATATCCAATACAATGCGTTTGGCAAACTCTTAAAAAACTAAGGGTGTGGGTTAGTCGAGGCGATCAAACTCCACAACCTCAACATTCTGCTCCATTCGTGGTATTCGCATAAAGGGACGAATTTTGATGCAAGTCGTTCGCGAGATATTAATCATCGAAAAACCATTAGCGCATTCAAAAGATTTTTATGTTGATTTTCCGGTGTTGTCATTTGGTCTATCCTCCAATAGAAAATATACGAATTTCTTAGCCTGAAAAAGTACCATACATTGATTACTGATTCTTTGCGTAGCAATATGACACTAAATCAAATACTTACATCATTGTCTTGAAGTCAGTTTTTGTTTAGTAGACTGTGATTCGTAAATATCACATCCTGGTTTTAGCAACATTGTCAAAAGTCGTAATAGTATTACCAAATCGTTTATATTCAGCAAATTATCTCAGGAGCGCAACATATAGTATTATGCAGTTCGATTAAAAGACAATAGCATAGAAAGTTTTCTCTTACTTTCATATACAGATATTATTGAACGATTCAAACAGAATCAAACATCAAGTCTAGAAGCAATTTTCGTAAAAGCAGCTGATATAAACTTTTCTCTTAGTCAAATAAAAGTTTTGACAAGCTAAGCCGATCTTCTAAAAAGAGAAATACCTGCCTAATTTTCATTAGCGCGTTTTAGGTGAAAATTGATGAGTGTCAAACCAGCTCATCCAACCAAGAGTAACATTTCTCAGCAAAATCATTCGTCCGCAAGGTTTCCATTAATTATCTTTAGTGAATGATAATTATTACGCGATAGACTCTGAAGGGTAATTTCTGTTATTTTTATGGAAATTTATACGACTTAGTTTTGAGGTTTTTTTTTTATAGAATGAGTATTGTATCTGCTAAACATACTTTTGCCGAGAGCTCAGAGATATCTTATTTTATTTAGAAATATATTTTATCAATCAGATAAAGCTGTATGTAAAACATTTTTAATTGAATTCAGATAGCTGCGCCTTACGCTAAACCTGTTATTTATAACTTAACGGGTAAATCTCTGGAAACAAAATATCTTCTCTGACGCCTTGTCAATGTTATCACAAAAAAAAACTATTCCTAGTCAAAACATCTTCATGCCTCTCCTTATCAATAATGGCACGTTGATAGAGAATAACTTTTTCTTAAACAAAATTAAATCAAAAACATATTTACATTGCAACTTTCTAATATTTATTAAAAGTATGGATAAAATAGCTTCATTGAATATATATGTATACATATGTTTGAACAACGTTATGACAATATGCAAACATTCTAAATATTTTTTGAGGCTAACTATCGAGGTTGTCACAGCAGCAGATGACACACCAAGCATGAATGACACCTGGAACCTTAAACACACGCAAACGAGGAAAAATATATATGGTTGTCATTGTTTTCTAATTAGAAATGTTTACCCAGCCCAGTAATGTAAGTAGAAGATTAATGCATACAGTGCAGCTACAAACTTTATTTCTAGCTATCCATACGGCTAAAGGCGGTATAAAGAAGCTTAAAATAATTAATAGCAGCTTTGCACAAGCATCTCCCATCGTTCGCTCAGTTCAGAAGAAAAATATTATATGCAACTAGCTGTTTTTTCTTTTCTGCGCATCACATTTTTCTCCGTTGCTTTTCGAATCTAGATCTATTGGAGAAGAAAAAAGTAATGGAAAGCTACAGAAAAACAAGAATTTGGCGTGGATCAACTATTTTCTGTTCATTTCTATGTTGCTTCGGTAAGAAGGAAATAATCGTACGATGACAAAGGGCACAACCAACAGAACAGAAGAAAAAAGAATTCATCTACATCTTTAATCATGGTGAATAGACCATCGAAAGGAAAAAATAATAATATTAGTATTCATACATCGTATGATTTATTCGTTATCATTTTTACATATGAAATGAAAATTGACTTTACTTTGATGATTTCCAAGCGTATATATCGTTATAATATACATAAAATGATAAACAAAAACAAGGCAGTTGGATACTTGATTTTTAAGCAAAACATGAAACAAAGAAAACAAGAAGACGAAACAATGCGTACAATATAAAACTTAGAAAAAATAAAATGCAACATCATTCGCAAGCTAATTTTCCATCGAACGATGATAATGCGATGCCAAATGCTTGAACAGCACATAGTGGATATTTAAAATCACATGTGAACACATCTAAAGTTATATAGAGTAGTTTGAAATTTGATAAGTTAATCAACAGAAAACAACATAAGTGACAGATAAATTTGCAGTCGACAAGGACACGGGAAATACTCGGACATTTTAACGGAATTTGAAATGATTAGAATTCAAAATAGTTTATTTTAAGTGTTTATTTAATATGTAATTGTCTACGTTGTTTTTCCAGCTATTTTTCTTGGTCATTCCATAAAATTACTAGTTTATACGCATAGAGCACGATTGTAATACTGAAAAGCTGTCTCTATAATTGATCAGCGGCTGTTGAAATTTCTCGGGGAATGAAAAAGAAAGACAACAATGATAAATTTGTAGTAGGGAAATTTGAAACGCATCCAAACTAAATTCTTCAACTTACATTTGTACAATAAATCGCAGGTTATCTAACAGTATGAAAAATCGATCTCCAGAACTCACTAATTTTGAAAAATACGATTTTAACAACTTCTATTCTGTGAAGGAGAGTTAGAGAAGGATTTCCTAAAAAAATAACTATTTTAATGCACAGTAGATCAGTTGCCATCTCTACATATGATTCACCATAATGATTGATGTCATCGTGAAGATAAGTTAATGAATTGAAAGCGTATATAACGAAAAATGAGGCCACCTGTAACGGATGCCCTTCCTTTTTGAACTTTATCTAATCAACCTAATTTCTCTATTATTCTCTTCATCATCATAGTTAATCATTAGATTTGAAAAATTCTTTTCGACATTCCTATATGCCTTATATGATAGTCCTCGTAATTATAATGATTGTAAACTGTCAAATCCTGAGTATTAATGATGATTTGTTGTTGAAATTTTTCCTTTTTTCACCATGTTGACAGCTCCGAATAGATCAGTCATGAAGCAAACACACAATATGTATCATAATGAATCAATTAAAGAGTCTTAATTTCAATAAAACAGGATGCCATTTCATTTTTTCTCAAAAACGAGGAAGAGTGCATCTTGGTGTTAGAAAATCCTATTTCTTACAGCTGCTAGCCAAATCTAGTGGATAATCATAGATCTCACTATAATTATTTCACATTATACAAACTTGCGTGATAGGATTTCAAGATTGGAAGATATAAACTAGAAAAACAACGTTCATCATTACTATTTCATCGGGAAAAATAAGATCCTTCGGAAATGGCATATAGCATCCATAGCATTGAGAAGCCGTCGTAGAAACGTATTTCTTAGTGAGAATGAAGATGCGAATGTAATTAAATCGTTTTCTAAGTTTTCACTGTCTATTCATGTCATTCTCGAAACCTTATTCAAGAGTTCATAAAAAAAGGTCTCGATTGAAGTACTGCTTTCGTTGGGTTTAATTCAGTTTGGCTTACTTACAGCTGAGTAATCTCCGCTTTCGCCATCTACAGTCGTGAACAATAAGTTCTTCGCATTTGGACTATTTGTCTCTCTCTTTTCCCTTTATTAAAGTCAAGTTTTCATGTATATTCAATCTGTTTTTGACGTCAGGAAGGATTGTCGGTATTATTCATAATAAACACAACGTCAGCCAGCGCAAAAACATATCTAAAAATACTCAAATGCTTCATTTTCTAATTAACATATTGCTTCGTTGATTTTTCTCCGTCAAAAAAAAACGTCCTGACTAAAGAGCTGATGTTGTGTTATAGACCGACGGTTATGATGAAGTAAAAACAAAGAAAAAAGGTCTATTTTTATTTCCTTCCTTTCATATTTACAAGTGAGCACTTTGAAAAGCTTTTTTTCAATATTACTAGAATCCTTGTTGTAAAAATGGAAGTTTCAAGAAAAAATATTTTTCCAAATGAGGAAACATTTATCAGGCGTCAAACGTTTAAACGAAAGAAAACACTCAACTGATTAATGTTTAAAATATACGTCGAGTTATCGATGATGCATTAACTCATAAAAATTAAGTTCAATGCTCGTTTAGTGTTTTTTGTTTCTCTTCAATAAAACTTACCATCACTAACTCGGCCGAATTGCATGCATACATATTCTTCTAAAGCAATACAAAGGAAATTATAATATGCTTTTGAAAAGAAAAAAGATAATTTATGTCAAATACGAGTTGTCAGCAATGTTCAAGTATGCAAACAAAAACGTGAATATTTCGTTACTCGTAACAAACATGAGTTCTATAAGCTCAAAGAACTTTCATGAACAATATCTCATTATAATATATATGTGACAGGCGAGTTTGGAATAGTTTTTTTCGTAATTTTTTCTAGCAGAATTTTTGTTGAGACTGACTTTAGAAATTTTTATATTGATAATTATTCCTCGCATCTTTTTACAATGAGTTTTTATACAATTGAACTTTTTGTATATTTTTAAACCTATCGGGACATGGGGACATTGAATTTATCTGAGAAATATTTCTTCTCTTTTCCTTTTTTCTATACTCTATTATCACGAGCAGAAAAAAAAGAAAAATATATTTTTCCGCACATTCCAATCTCAACTGAAATTCTCATGTCAACTATGACATATGTGAACTATTTGTTGATTGGATTTGTTTAGGATTGAGTGAAGTTAACACGAGAATAAAACTAATCTTCGTAACACAAATATATCGCATTTCATAATTAATTTCCCAACGATAGTCATAGAGCTTGCCTTACTTACGATCATCATCATGTACGACTTGAAAATTTTTGACTGACGCTTGAGTTACACGTCCATGAAAATTAAGTACATATGATTGAGTTTCTTAAAAGAATATGATTATTTAATTGTCAGAAAATGATCTTTTTATTTTTCATCTACCTTCATTCCAAATCGGTGCTTTGTTGTGTAATTCAAGTAGATTATTCATATCGTTATGTTTCCATCGTTCAATTAAACTTTCTGAATCCTTGTGTTTTTTTCATGTATAGTAAATAAGGGTTTATTTAGAGATTTTTTATTCTTACATTTTTCGGTCGAACTTCAACTCGATGATGATCACTACTCATGCCAGGGATAATGATTGTCATTCGACGTGGACCTTTAAATCCTAATATATTCGTTTCCTATGTTACCCGTGGAAAAATAGATAAATCAGAACTTTAAATTTATTTAAATATTATACATAAGCAACAGCAGCCAATTCTCGTCTTTGCTGTTCGATAGACCTGAGAAAACAAAAGAAATTATTCGTTCAATTCAACTTCTAGAAACTTACACATTCTTCTTTGGATTTGAACCTTGATCAAATACAGTGAAATATGTACCTAACATATTTGCTCTAAACATGTAGTTTTGTTTAATTGTTTACCAATAAATTAGAACAAAAAAGAGGTTCTACCGTAATTTTCCAATAAACTTTTCTCCATCACGAGATAAATCTGTTGGATCAGTTGATATCAAATAATTGGATGTCGTACTACGTCGACGTTTACGTCCGGCAAGAATAAAAAACTAGATAAAAGTTATTCAAAGTGAAACATTTTCTTTCATTGAAATGATGTCGTTACCTTTTTACCATCACCAGGTCTTTCAACATGCATATAATAGATTGGAAAAAGGCCTTTTTCCATTCCGCGCTTATCACGCGTAATACGACATTGAACGTCACCAAGACCATTTGGTGCTGGCGTATAAACAAATTTATCTAAATCTTCTGTAATCATTTCAAATAATGTACGCAACACAAGTGACAATGATGGATCGCTTGCATCATCATTATCATTTGAATGATCATTTGTTACCGCTGTTGTTTCATTTGAACGATCATTTGTTACCGCTGTTGTTTCATTAGAATGATTTGCCTTGGGTGTCCACGGTCTAACAACTGTGATTTCCGTGTCATCATCAGAATCTGAATGGCAATGATTAAAAAGAAGGTTTAGATGTAGTTTCTTGGCTCGTTTGTGACATAACATTATCATTACTATTATTGTGCAAGGATACAGGTGAAGCAAAACTTCATTCAGGATGTGTACCGCAAGTGCTGCGGCGATAAACTCATTTATTAATGCATTGGTGCTCATCGTGAGGTTTCTTTTTATGCAAGGATGCTTTTCAGCAAAAAATTGTCGATACAAACAGAAGCAAAAAAAGCTTGGGAGACGTTCTTTTTTTCATATTGCTTTGCCGCATACATCCAAAAACATAGAAAGCAACACAGAAAAGACGAGTGCATTTCCCTGTGGAACATACCATTTTTTTCACCATCATCATGACTATGTGTAATTGTAGCATCAGATAACACTTGTACGGGCCCTCTTGCAGCCTTTACTGTTCTCGTGTGAATAGATGAACTTGTCGATGGGCGAAGTCCATTCAAATTATCTTTCTATTGTAGACAAAAAGAAACATGTTGTTTACCTAAGACTCAAATACGGATAATGTTAATACATCTTGATGTTTTCGACGAATCGGATAAAACGGTTGACTTGATATAGACGTTGGACGATTAAAATCGTTCGATGCTACCGATCCTTCACCATCAGAATGAAATGAAGTATTCACAAAGCCTAAGATAGTTGAAAAATACAATTGGATTCAAAGAAAAAAAATTACGATGAAATAGACTTTCTATGTCTTTTACTTACCACCAACATCATCCGGGGTAGATGAGTCTGTTTGACGAGGCGTACGTTTCGTGCGTATATCTGTTTCACGTTTGGTTAATTCTGCCTAAAGTAAAAACAAAAACCAAAGACGATGAAGAGATCAATCATCGTCTAGAAAACCCTATAAATACTTTCTGATTTATTCTGTTCCGATCAAATTTTCTAGATGTTGATGCTTTATGATCATCCTCTTCTAAAATTCTGTAACAACAAAAGAGCAGCTAATTTTATTTTAGTTAAACATCTATCCGCTCACACTCCGGGAACATGTTCACCGTATAACATTGTACTCTTATGGCCGTTTGTCTTATCCGTGCATAGATCTAAAACTAGAGCAACGTTCGAGAGAATATAATCATTGAAAATTCTATTAACTATAAAGTTAGTTGTAGTTATAAAGAGAAAAAACAGGTTTCTATTCCACTACTTTTTATTGATGCCTTTTCTCTTTGCATTCCTTTGTTAATGTCAGCAAGTCGAGAAAAAGAAATAGGAATAGTAGATATGAAAACACAACAGAGAATTCATGCTAGAACACCCCGAATGGTGGGAGAGATAAGAGAATGGGAGTTTTGGATGTAACTCGATATGAAATCTATGATAGCTGCATTTGTTGTATTCAAACGTCTGATTAAATAATAATAAAATATTTTATTATGATTCACATTAGAAAAAAATATTGCAGATCAAGTAGCTGTCAACTCTGTATTAATAGATATTTATATCATTTTTTTCGTTTCATGTTCTCTTTTAGAACACTGATTACTAAACGAGCTATTAACTTGAAGTATTTTCTCTTTCTTCTCATTCTTTTTTCTTCCTTCTTCTTCTTCTTTCATCAAACTCCGTTAAATGATGAAGTATAGAGAATAGAAAAAAAGGAACAACGTTCAACAAGTTGGAAACAAGAAAAGAAATACTTTACGAGTCATAATGGCATGAATGACTCATCGTAAAAGCCACCATGCTTCAGTTGGTTGCTGAGCAACAAGCCTCCGCTACATATTTTTAAAACTTACTTCCACAGATAAAAATTCTTTCGTTTAATTAAAAACAACTCTGATTATTTTAACATTTAACTTGTTCCGACCAATCCGATGTCACTAGTGACATTATATTAGACAAAGACAAAAGAAAGTGTCAAAAGAAATAAATAAAATAGTAGGACATTCCGTTACACATTGGACGAATATTTAGCATGTCATCAACAAAACTCATTCCATCGAATGTTCATGATAATCAAAGTGGCGACGAACTTCAAGTTGGTTTATCAGCAGTTAAAGTGCATCGTTATACATGTGATAGCAATACAGATTGGCCAACATCATCATCAACAACAACAACAACAACAGGAGACGAAACAGGTGTTATTATTAAAGATGTTGTACCACGTTCAATGTATTATGATCAATATAGTAATAATGACGATGATGATTGTTTATGTTCATGTGCATGCTGCCGTTGTGAATGTTGTCCAACTGTATCCGATTGGTGTGTGAGAGATCCATATGGTTTATCGTGTGGTTTTACAACGTGGTTTTTATTTATTTTTGCTCAATTAGTTGTTGTATTTGTTATCTTAATACCTAAAAGCCATTCAACAATATTCAATTTAATTAATTTAGTTATATTTCATGTATTAGAATTTCTTGCTGTTTCGTCACATTATAAAACAATGTTTTCAAATCCAGTATGAAAATTGTTCTTTTTTTCTCTCGTTTACTTTGTTTAGGGATTATTTCGATTTAGTTCAATATTTGCTTGAGTATGAAAATTTAAAATAGTGCTTTGAATGACAATATTATAGAAAAATACAAAATGATATTTCTCGAAGCTCTCTACGACGGTTTTTGACTTAGTTCATTCAATATTACGAAAAGTTATAAGATAGCCTTTAGTCTAATTTGTCCACAGGCAATAGTAAAGAAAAAATCTACTTCTAAACGTTTTTTGCTTTGTAATATCGACCTATTTCAATGAAAAAATGTCACATACAGCTCAGAGAGATCTTCGTTTTGTAAAGAAATTGTTTAATACAAAAAAGTTCCAAGTAATGGTACACTAGTTTCTCTGTTAGTATTTGCTGGAAGCAATTTTTTTCTACCGAAATTAAACCTTCATGATCATTATTTTAAATAATTCGATTCACTAATAAGACTTGCATTAATAATATATATTTATTTATTTATTTATTTATTTATTTAGGGTACTATTCCATTGAATGATGCAACACCAGAAAACATTTTCAAATATGCAAATGGTACTGTTGTGTATCGATGCGCTAAGTGTCAGAGTATAAAACCACCGCGAGCCCATCACTGTAGGTACTAACATCCGATTATTTATTTTTTTGTTTTGGTTTATTCTTACGTTTGAATTTAAATAGTGTGTGTAAACGATGCATAAAACGAATGGATCATCATTGTGTTTTTGTTAATAATTGTGTTGGACAAAACAATCAAAAATACTTTATTTTATTTACAGTAAGATTAAAATTCTCGAAAAAAATAATTAAAATGTTTATGAAGTACCTTGAAAGAAAGGATATTGTTATTAATGATGTTTTTCTCTAAACAAATAATTCATCTATATTCATGTTTTAATCCAGAGTATATTTTTCACTGCAGCATTCAAGACACCCAAAGATTGAACACAGCTGTTAGAGTATAAAGACAAAGTAGAAGAGTCATTCCACCAGAAATCACCAGATCCATCCGGCGAAACCGACCAAATTTTTTGAAACTTTCAGGATTTGTGGAGAATTTTTCGTTGATCATTTTAATAATAAACTTTTCCAAAATAAACTCTTTTTTCGCGAAGATAGAGGTCAAATACAAAAAGTGCACTTTTTAAAAAGCATTTTAAAAAACTTGCATTTTTTTCGAAATAGCAATGAAAGTGCCCTTTCTTTACTTGACATCTTCAGATCCCTCGTGAAAAACTGCATCAGAATTCATAGGAATTAGAAAACGTTTGAGAAATTTTATACGATCCGCTAAGGCTAAGATAATTCACCAGAAAAAGATATTGCTTAAAGAAG